ACATATGACTTTCTGAGTGAGTGACACATGTACACAAGTAAGTGAAGCTCGTTGTTTTTCACTGTTTGTGGATATTTAATTTGCATGAAAAAGGAAAAATGGTAATTAATTCTTTTTGAAGGCATTCATTGTAAATGTGTGCACCTACATATTTGACTGAGATTGAAATTTGTACAATTATTAATCTTATTTTAAATAAAAAGCATATAATTTTTAGTTCCTAACCCCCCCCCCCCTTAAAAAAAAGAAAAATTGTTTTTATAAGATAATGACATGAATTTTGATGATATTAAATGATGCCTAAGTGGATATGCATGTTGGAAAATTGCCACAGGGAAAATTAATTTTTCCCAGTTGTAGGTTTTGTAAATGTTATGCTGCAACCTTTGTATTCTTGCAATGATCAATGCACTAGCTCCAAATGATTTTTTGTCTTCTGAAGCTTTGATGCTCAGATGAAGTAGCTTATTAAAGTTTAATATGTATTACGTTTCAATTTGTAAGTGAATAAAATTGAATTTGATTTATGACTGACAGAAAAGAGATGCTGATTAAAAGGAAATTTTGCAGTCCATCTTGTGAGTTAAAGAGGCAGGCAAATCATTATTGACTGTAGTTCTTGCAGACTATATTAGAACGTACCAAGTTGACCTTCCTCAACTGTACTCCATCTTGACAGGCTGCTGTCTGACCTATCCTTCCCATCAACATATCAGCAGATGAAGCAAGTTCTTACAATTTTTGTAGGAATTTTTCTTATCTGCAATAACAAACATCTTGGCATGGTTTTCCTGCAAAAATCTGATAACTGGCTCTGTTGATGGGTGATGTCAACAAGTTGTGGTCATCATGAAACTGTATACTGGTCCTTGCCATTAGCACTCTCATTTAGAGTTTAAAAAAAGAAACATTTGTCACAGCAGATGAGATTTTGACAGTGAGAAAAAGATGTTAAAATAAATGACAACTGTGTGATGTCCATAATATTTATAATTAATTTTAAAGCAATAATAAATTATTAATAATAATAAATTAAAAATAATTAATTATTAAAAATGATTAATGAATGGAAAGCATTCACAAGAACAAGTTTCATCCATAATACTGTATGTAATGGTATATGACATTATGTGAATCCCATTTTAATAGAGATTTTTTGGAAACCATTTGTAACATGCTAGTAAATTTACATACAGCCCCACCACATAGATAGTTTCTTTAACATGTACAATTTGTTCATTTAAACATGGAGAACAGCCTTGTGTTCAGCAAATAGCTGTACTCGTGTAGGGAAAATTAATGGCAGTTCGTGTTGAATTTCATGATCCTTCAGGTTAAAGTAGCAATTATCACTCTCTTCCTGGGGAAGAGGATCTGCCTACGTCAGCATCAGCCCAAAGGAAATTGCTTCCAAGGCCATTAACGGTGGCTTTTTCCCCTACTCTGTCTACTAATTACCACAATATACGGATCACACCAAAGAAAATACATTTCCACTGCGGACATTTTCATGATTAGATTAATAGGTATCATGGGCCCATGCATATAAACTCTTTGATTTCTGGAGGGCTCATTAGTATAATGTCTCATCTGCCTGTGGATGAATGTTCACAAGGAATTTGCATTAAAACAGATATACATTGTACCTAATTGGTGAAAATCACATGATACATCTAATGCCTTCCATTTCCCATCCTCAAGTACACATCATGGTATATAATTGGTTAATGTTCTTAAATTTGCCCTGTTTATGTTAGTTGATCTGCATATTGTGACTTTTTAGTCTTGAGCATCTACATATAGCAGTGCCTTTTTGTAATATGACAAAGATAATTGTTTAAGTCACATAAATCCTTCAGCATGTAAATGCTGCAACATTATTTATATTATGACCTTTTCATTTGATTAGAAAAAGTGTCCTTATATAAATTTTGATGCAAATGATTCAAACTTTTTTCCGTCTTATTTTGCTATTGTTGATCTTATAATTCTCTCTGAACACCAACATGACAGTTTTCTGAAAATCTAGTGTTTTCCTAGTTTTAGAATTTCCATGGATGCAGTTATTTTCCATTAAATTTACAGACATCTTTTGAAGTACAATAGCCATTCAAATGACCAGTGGCATCCATTCTCTTGCTTTTAATTGTTTGGTAGTAATAGATTAAGAAGTTTTTAATGAAGATGATGAAGCCTATTAAAGATACATATATATATATATATATATATATATATATATATATATATATATATATATATATATATATATATATATATATATAGCCCCAACAGGAGTAAGGGCACACAGCATTATTATTGCATGGTGAAGTGTTCAGACATGCAGAGTTCAACTCTGTGCAACAGTTTGCAGACTTATTAATTCCAAGGGCTCAAGTCCTATAATGTAAGACAATGGAGTAAGTTGAGATCTGATACATTAATTAGACATTGTCTGCATTCAGGTTTTTGTTTTTACATTTTTGTCATTAAGCCTATTGGTGAGGTCCATATAAAAAGAGCAGAGAATAGTGCACTGTCTATGAAGTGTTTTGAACATTGACAGGTGGTCCTTTGGCAAAGGAATGAGCTGTGTTAATACCTTGAGAATAATGCAGTGTGTACAGAAATGGTAGCTCTCAAACTTTTAGTCTGCCAGGTGCTTAGATTCCCAGGTTGTCTTATTGAACAACCTACATTTTGTGGGTGTGTATAGAGACATCATTTCTGTTACATTGCTGTGGCAAAGGAAGACATAGGTAGGGCAGAATTATGTTACGATGATGATAATTCTGTTAAAAAGGTTTTTCATAGGTGATCCAGTAACTATTTTTTGCAGAGACTGATCACCATCTATTATTACTTGCATTTGAAGTTTTTTATATTCAATTAAATTTAAACTGATTATATATTTGGGCTAGTAAATATGGACAAAGTCCTTTTGGACTAAGTGTAAATGCAGTGTACTGGTATTTGGTTCAAAATGTGTGCATATGATTACATTAATGAAGTATGCTTATTCAAGCATTAAGAAAATTTAATACCTTAGGCTTAACGACAATATGTTCTTGTTGTGAATTGAAGATGGGTGCGCTTATCAATTTAGAAATTTTAGTAAGACTCAAACCCAAAACATTGAACAGATCACTGATGAGACTTTTCTGACTTTTGTAAGCTTTTGTACTTTCGTGTACGCTGGACCCCCGGTCAATTTTCCTACTTTTTAAGTGAGGACTGGTCTCATCCCTGACAGATGTGACAGGTTAAATATCAGTATGAAAATGTATGCAACTGCAAAATATATACCATATTTATCTAAAGATCCCATTTTACATATGTCATCAGCTTTTTTTATGTACACAATTTACAATTAAGCATTGCACCAGGTTATATATTGTGATGTTGTAGACTATGCCCACCTGTCACACCTTTGGTCCAGCACCTTTTATGACAAGCTCCCCATTCAGACCAGCAACTTCTTTTCCTAAGTGGCAAACACTGGTTGTAGTGGAGGTATAAATTTGAACTCACACATATTGTTTTTTCATTTTTTATTTTATGAAAGTTTTTACTGTTGATGGTTTCAAAACTATTTCTTCACCCTGGAATATATTGCAATAACTAGCAGAATTTGTGCCTGTTGTGTCTACATTGCATGCTTATTTATGCTATCTGACAATCATGCGGGTAAGATTGATAAATTGTCACTTTGCAGTTTGACTTCCCTTTTGGACACAGTGGGCCCCTGGATCACTATATGTAGCCCCACAAATCATGAGATCTGTTCAGACAGGGATTGACTTCTAAACACCAGAATAGGATGAGCCAGATGACCAGATTATGAAAGCAAGTTTGTCTCCAGCTGTCCCTTAAAAATATAAAGAGCCTACATTGCACCTTGCAAATCTTTAAAATCTAACATTTAAACCACTCTGGTTGAGTGATGACATGTTTCAGTCAATTTCTTTTCTGAAGTTATTCTGATCTGAATGCATCTCTGAAAATATAGAGATACAGTGGTGTCATTTCCCCAGTTGACAGTGTGGAACTGCCTTGTACTGTTTGGACATGGACGTAAGACAATACATGTATACTGTGACAAGGGTGCTCTTGTCCATTTACAAAGACAGCTGATGTGATGCAATGTATATGAGTAATACTATGACACAGTTTGAAGAAAACAAAGAAATGTCATGCTGGAAGGTGACAGCTAGAATGCTTTGTATGTGTCTGATTTATTTAGCTGGTTTTGTTGAATTATGCACCTTTGATTGTCACATCTGATCCTCCCCTGTGGACAGTTTAATTGTTATGTTGTTATCAATTTGTGCTGCAATAAATTTTCATCTGTGTACTTTTACTTGACGGATTTATATTACCACAAACAGTAAGTTCTGTCTGTGTACAAGTCCTTCTCAGTGTTAGATTTAGTTTATTACATTAGCCCCTCCTTCCTCCTTCTTTAATTGACTTGTATAGGGTTTATGGTCCTTTTGTTTGGATCAGTAGATTTTATGAAATGAACTTAGGATATAATGTTTGATTTTGGATCCCTGTGGTTTTCAAATTGGCTTAACAACAATGTCCAGTGGAGTCAAATTGGTTTACTAGATTTAAGTTATGTCATGCTTTTGTGAATGTTAAAGTGCGTAATATTTGATAGTGAGGTTAACATATTGTAGATGCCCTTTTTGATACCATCTGTTTAGAAGTTGAGTGCATAGTGCATCAAACAAGGGCAATCTTTAAAATCAAAAATCCCTGTTTTGCTTTCAGGTATCTACCAAAATCTAAAGCAACAAAGGTCAAGTTATGTAAAATATTCAGCCAATTTATTTAACCCTCTAATGAATGTTTTACCTGATTTAACATAGAGTGGTTCTTATCATAATATAAGGAAATATTATGCAAAGGTACCCAGGAATCTCTGCAAACAATTGGTTGGTGGTCTGGCCTGGTGTCCCCATAGGACATAAGCTGAAATGTACAGCCATTGTACTCTATTTAATCATATAGGACTGAAAGGTTAAGGTAATATTATGATGCCCTTTGTTGGGGATGATTAATCTGTTTCCCATGCACATTTGGGACCGTTTGCAGAACTGTAATTGCATGTTCAAACCAGAGTTGAGGTATTAAAAACAATGTCTGTGTACCAAGGAGGCTGGCAGTTGAATGTGTTAATTTGGCTGGATATAACAACAGGGAAAAACAGGCAATATATTATCTGATAAACCTGTATGTAATAATACATCAGTAATTGTCAGCTTAGGTGTGCATGAAAGCTGCATAACCACAAGATAAATAATTTGCATTGTAGACCTGTTGAAGTTATGTGGTCACCATATATATGGCTGCCTCTTGTTATAGTGAGTCAAAGAACTAGACAGGCAGGGGCATGTACAGATGAAATCAAAAGAGGCACACCAAATGTCATTGGATAAATTGATGATGTAGAGAGTTATAGTTGGTCGCTGCCCAGGCAGGAAGTTTGTGACATACTGTACAGCAGTCTGAGCAGTAGCTTTGACAGTTCAGAAATCTTGTGAAGACACCCAGCTATTGATGTAATATATAATATATATGCAGGTATGAATATGACCAGATATGTATTTTTCATAGGATAAAGTATAGAGAAATAGATACAGTATGTGTATTATTTGCTTGCTCTTTTTGCTAAGCTGAAGTGTCACAAAAGTGCAGGTACCAGTATGCATGATCATTTTGTTGACTCAGTCCGACTTCAATTCACAGTAATATGACTACATTTCTGATTGTCATCATACCTGGAAGATAATATGATCCACAGATTAGATTGCCTGAGGTGTAGCCTGAAGACTAACGCTACTACTGCTTCCCTGCTTACTACAACATTTATGCAGACTGACAGTTGCTTTAAGGCAGGTGCAATATGATGTATTAATCAGATAACCATTGGAAGGCTCTTTGTTTCTACTTTTGCATCATTTATATATGTATACGTGTATATACACGGATAAAACATGAGAGTGTGAAATAGGTCAACGAGATCTCATCGTAAATATGTACTCCATCTGGGAACAGCTGCCTTGGCATTGCAGAGGACAGTGGACACAAAGGACTGAAGGAAATTAAATACGGAAGGAAAAAAATCAGGACTGCCACATCTGCTGGTTGCAGGGGGAAATGCCAACCCTTTCATTTGAAAAGGAAACATTTTAGATTAACTTTTCAAAATTATGACTGATACTACGAACTGATACCACAGAATCAGGTGATTTATGTTTTAAGTTATGTACCAAACATACAAGGCCTTGTTTTTTCCCTCTGTTTATTGGTTACATATACATAATTTTGTTCTCTTTTCTTTAAAAATGTCTTATTCTCTCCAGATTTATCCAGATCAAGACTTGGAAGTAGAAATAATGAACAGTCTTGTCCGCTGTAAACATTTCAAAGAAGGTTGCAAGTGGACAGATAAAGCGGCACACTTACAGGTGAGTGTAGATTATAATTTCACACCTTATCATTGAAATGAATACTAATATTCTTAATCTCCACATAATTGCCCCTGTTTACTTTTTTACTCAGAAATTGTTTGGCTGATAAAGCAGTATTGATTCTATCACATCATATTCTGGAACGTGGCATATTCTCTGTTGTAAAAATCCATTCAAAGGCAGTAAGCCACTTGAGACTTGTGAGCCATGCTGGTTGTACACATGTCAAGAGATGGTTTTGTGTGTCTACCCCATTACTACAGCTTGTGTAATAAGTGATCATCTGTCAGTGCCCTTCAGATGCATTTGACCTGTCTTTGTTTGTAATCTTTTGGTGTGAAAACTCCTTACTCAGCAGCTGTATGTTTCTTTTGATGATGGTTCTTTGTGCTTCAAAGTTATCAGGTTTCCTTTCTGTAGTATATATGATGTGATTCATTCTTTGTAAGTCTCTTCCAACATGATAGGGATGTCCCAGGTAGGTTCCATCATATATGTATAGTTTAGATAGTAAAATGAAAATGAGATAGGAACTGTAACTCTAAACTTTTATCAGAAATACACACAGATCTTGGTTATAAATACGGGTATGTTAAATCAGAGGTGTAATTTGGTGTACTGTGTATACTGTGACTTATTGGGACATGCATGCAGTTTCTCATTACTTGCTGATTATTGGAGATATTTCTGTTTTCTGGTAAGGCGATAATTGCCCTGTAAAGAAGGGCACCAGTCTACTGATTACATGAATGTTATATAAAAGTACACTCTGCAATCAACAGTATTCACATATCTCTCATTGTCCAAGCAATATACTTCTTTTTGTTTTGTTTTGTTTTGTGTTATATATAACAAATATGATGAAGTAATATAGCGTTTATTCATTGTATCGTATGCATCTACATGGGTAGATGAAAATGTACAATAGGATTGCAATTATTAATAAATATAAATTATATTAAATAGTGGTGACTGCTTGTGAGAAAATATGTTATAGTAATATGTTAACATGTTTTCATATTTATGCTTACTAGTATTTTATAGGTGTGAGTGCAATATGCAAAATTTAAGTTAAGATAATGTGAAATTGTATTACCACAGTTGGCAAGAGCAACTGATGTTATCTGTAATTTTTGCTAAGACAAACTTGCTATCTTTAAATCTGATACCTGAAGAAATGCAAATATCAAGTACTCATTAAAACAAAATTAAACCAAAAGGCTCTGAGCCTGGAGGGAGAGAGGAATCTCATATAATGACAGTTCATATCAACATCCTTATTAAGATAAGAGGGTGACGATGGCTGCACTTTTAAGATGTTTGATGTCTGACAAGATCAGGAACATAGATCCTTATGATTTAGTGCTTTCTTTTTGTCTTCCATTATGATAAAGTTAAGGCTCAACATTCAAAATTACCCAAGATTACTTACTAAATTGTATCATTAACAGTGATTGCCTTAGAGAAAATGCATTCCGATACCTAAGGCGAATATTGCTTTACGGTTCACAGTTAGAAAGCACAGAGTCAGATTAATAATGAGCAGTTAGACTGGCAGTTGATAATGAAGGTTGTAAAAATGTGACTGAAAAGGACTGTTGGCACTGTTGGTTTACTTTCCCATGCCAAAACGTGTCCTGAGGCTGTGGAGACATTAGCCTGCTCTCTTGACTAGAACTATGTAAGGATGCTGGTCTCATCATTGTGTCTCTCTTGCTTAGTAGCCTCACCTAGCTAGAACTTTATAAACTGTGGTGTTGGAAAACACAGCCAAAGTTTGGGAATTCTCCAGCATATTATCTGCCATGAGCCTGGACTGGGCTATTGTTTTGGAGCTTAAGTAGTGCAAGGATCACTGTGTCGCTGATGGTCAAGCGGCCACTTGAAGGCTACTATCTCTGTCATCCTATATCTTTACAGTGCATTATTATTATAGTTCTGATTGTGCGACAAGACCCTGCTTGTAGGAAACCACCTTCAAATTTTGGAGATAGTTTGCCTAGATAAAGTAACCTTCAGTGTATTATAGAGTAGCATACCTGGTGGCTGTGTCATAAGCTGAAGAATTTTTCCAGTGACAGGGATTTTGCATTGCATACATAGTCATGGTAGGTGGAAAGAAACATATGTCTATTTTGCCTCTTAAGGCAAGGTACAATTAATTTTTAGCCTTGAGTAAGCATCATAAAAATGCTTATGGGTTTTACAGAGCGTGATTATACTTGTAACTATAAAAGTGTGAAAAGGTAAAATCTTCTTGTTTTAATATCGGTATATAGAGGTACTCTCAAAGTTAATGGGTAGCCAGTGGTCAATATGATGGGAAAAATTAGATTTATACAGTAAGATCAATTTTTACCACATCACCACATTCAGGATGATGTATTTGTGTGTTTATATCTGTTGCTAAGGATGCCACTTCATCAAGTGTTAACCGTTAATTATATATGGCCCAGAGATTTAATAATGAGATGAAGGTGTGGTTATTTTGTACATGCATCTTGTCTGGATAACTAGGTAAGTAGAAATAGTAGGAAAAATATACAGAATACAGTGAATAACAGGCCATAACTGGTGGTGTGGTGAAGCTGTTTTTGGTGTTTCTTACACAGAATGATGACTCATAATGATAGATCTGTTGAACATCAGAGAAATAAGGTAGGGAAAGAATTATTGCCCCTCACATTCAGTAAATCTATTTTCACATCTGTTACTATAACTTCTATTAAATATACTTCTATCTTAACATGAACTTCAATATTTGGTCAGGAGGGTTTCACATTTTGCATGATGTTTATATTATATTATATTATATTTTATATTTTTCATAGCATAAACATAGCTTATATTTCAAAATAAACATTGAGTGATTAGTTGTAGATTTCCCCTGTAATTTGGATATCTATTTTACTGTTTAATGATTTTTACTGACAACTTAGTTAAAAAAAGGAAAAAAATCCTGACTGAAACACTGCACATCACCCTGTAGTGAAAAATGGCTTGACACCCAGTTTGTGGTTTACATGACCCCATAAGATTTCAGCAGTGGATATAAAGGAAAATGTATTATATTTAATTTGATGAACTTAGAACTATGATGATTTTAGCAGATATTTTCATCTGGTTTTGTTTTAAAATTAGGCTTTGGTGTTTTTGTACTTGTTTTATAGCTAACAAGCATATCTAAAAGTATGTACTGGACCACCTTAAGTGGTAGTCAGACTTAAATACGTAAAATTATTGAATTGCAGGGGGAATATACTGACATAAACCATGTCCTAATGATACGTGATTGAGATGTTCTTTCATTGAAACGGCAGTCACTGGGTCAAAATTGTAATTTTTGCTTGTCAGCAGGGTTGCTTTTGTTTTATGGCACATTTTCCACAAATGTGACATGGTATAATTTATAATTATCCACTTTTCTAAATGCAGCTGGCTCATTTTTTATGTGAGCAGCAACAAATAATCATTATGTCTAAGATACTAAAAATGTTTTGTTCAGTTTCTTTGAATCCATGTCTATTTTGAACATTTTTAAATATGTGCAGGACAGATGAGTACATTGATTAAGTTACTAGTAGCTTAATCCTAACTCAAGGCAATTATGATAGTAATACATTTATTAAATAAACTTCACTCAAAGTGAGTTACATATGATGTGATAGGAGCTGCCATCTGCTTGTAATTGTACTGTCATTTTTTTCATTATATCTTTGCTGGCATTTATTGCTTTGTTCTTTTGAATATATTTTATCGCCATATATTTTAACAAAGTTAAGATATACCCCCCAGGGCACCATAATGACAACAATTTTGTAAATAAACAATTTTGCAGACAAGAAGTATTTTATTGGTAGTAGGGTTTTTTGTTGTTGTTGAAATGGTCTGGCAATTAACATTTTGGAATAAATATATAATGACAGAAATTGCTAGAAAATGGGTGAATATAGTCAGAGCAAGGTCAATTTTGAATTCATTGTCCTTGTTCTGATGTCCACAAATAGAAATAAACCCATGTGATTCCCCCAGTAAGAAGTGATATTAGCAAGTAAACAGAAGTAGTATTATATTATAATCTAGTACATATATATGGTTAGTATGCATGAAGTACTCCAGTATACAGGTTTTGTAGTCCTTTATGTAGAATAGAAATGGAGCATAAAACACAAGGATGAAAAATCGATAGTGACAAAAAGGGAAAAAGGGGCCTTAATAATCTCCTAATGAGAAGTAAATTGTCTCCTGCTGGCAGGAAAAGAGCACATCTGTTCACATCTATCAGCGTTATATTTGCTATGAGACAGTAGCTGTATTCATGTGGTGACAGATAGTGCTGGTTTTGGTCAGGTGTTTGAGACTGATATATACACTGTGTTGAAACACCTGCTGCTGCTGACATTCCATGCAGGAAGTATAAGGTATGTCCATGGTTAAGACCCAGTAAGGCACAGATGTCCATAACCAGTTGATCAACATAGAAGGTGGTCAACCAGCTGAAGTCTTGATGGTGAAGAATCAATATCATACTATGACATAGGTGGTTTTGAGTATATGAAGTCCAACTCTTATAAGGTTTTATTATGGGTTGAATGAGAGCTGGGACATGTCCACTGAATTTCTTCAATAGATATACTTATATCAGACTGGATGATTTTTATCTGTTTGTGAGTGCTGTGTTTGCTCAGTATTGCAGACCCTGATTATCAGCTCTATTTGGTTGTTTGTTGTTGACAAACAAGGTAATGCTGCTTCTAAATATAGGGCATTAATATTCATCTTTTGTTTTTTATTTATTTATTTATTTATTTATTTATTTATTTATTTATTTATTTATTTATTTTTTTTTTTTTTTTCCTTATTGCAAAAATTTCCTAATGGCTGTAGGTTCAGGGTATGATTTGGTATATGTTTTAATATTTGGAAAACAGAATGTTTTCACCACATTTTTGTTCTCTTTCACAGGCGCATTTAGATATCTGCCGCTATGATGCTGTGCCGTGTCCCAACCAGTGTGCCGCCATGTTGTCCAGAATCTGTCTCCAGGACCATCTAGAATACACCTGTCACAAGAGAAGGGTCACCTGTGACTTCTGTGGCATTGAATTCTCCGGTGAACAGATGGATGTAAGTTGGACCAGATTCACTAATGCAGTCATTTTTTAGTTTTTTTTTTCTTTTTTTTTGACAATAAATAAAATAATTTCTTTTTTTTTCGTATATCTGTATGGATCTTTTCCCTTCATTTGAAGATCAGATATGAAGAATGTTATCATTGATTTTCTTCTGCCAGTTGAATGATAAAAATGAGTTAATGATTTACTCCTTAACTGTGATAATGGCATTTGTTGTTTGTATACTGATAAGACTATAGTCTCTTTGGCTGTGGGCTGTAAAAGTGAAGTTTTATTTATTGACTAAAATATCGGTTGTTACTATAAACTCCTTCCTACTGCAAAACAAAGATGGGAACTTCAGCATGAAAGATGGCTACCCATGTTGTTCATACCCATCTGTTCCATTCAGTATGCGTTAAAGTAATATTTCCATGTCACTTAATGAAACCTTCTGAGAATGTTATTGCTCTTGTGTATGAATAGGCTTGCTACTTAATGAAATAATGGTTTTTGTCCTGCAAGGATAAATGAATTCATTATTAGCAATGGAGTAGCCTTAGCAATCAAGAGGACTAGGTGATTTTGCTGTAGTGTGTTTGGTTTTAGAGATTAAATGGTTTACAATTCATATGAAAAAAAAATCTTTGATGATATATCACTTAACCAAATATTTATAATGTATGTTTTAACCAGCTTTACACTTTGAAACTGTGTAATATCAACAGTGGCTATTGAAATAAACAGCATAATAAGATCATGCTCTCCCCATTGCACAAGTGTAGTCTAAAGACCAGACACACGATCTGTGTTAGATTAAACATTAATAGCTATGACTAATAAATCAATTTATTATTGATTTTTTTATTGAATAGAACCATGATGGGGAATGTGGCTATGAGACAGTGTGGTGTGAGAATAAATGTGGTGCTAGGCTTCAGCGGAGATTCCTCAATAACCACATGAAAAATGAATGCCACAAGAGGCTGGCCATGTGTTTGTTCTGCCATAAGGAGTTTGTGTTTGAGACATTGCAGGTGAGATCTCATAAACTATTGACACAAAAACACAAAAACGATTGAATATGTATATAACCTTTTTGAGACCGACAGAATATTTTAATTTAGCATCATTCACACATTTGAGTTAATCCTTTATGTGACAAAGGTGTAGTATCTTTAGTAAATGCAGTACTTGAGATAATTTGACAACATATTAAACTTGTCAAAAATGTTTTAATTTCTAATTGAGCCATTCTCTGTTACAGTAATATTTAAGACATCTCAGAAAGCAATATTTTAACAGACTTATAGCAATAAATAAATAAATAAGGATTGAAGGAATTTTATTTAAAGGAGCTCTCCATTACTTTTAGACCCATCAGCATACCTGTCCCCGTTTCCCTATATCATGTCCCAACCGCTGTGACCCCACCAAGATCCCCAGAGAGGATATCGAGAAGCATGTCGCAGAGTCCTGCCCCTCAGCATCTGTTCCTTGTGTCTTTAAAGAGGCTGGTTGCAAATACAGGGTAAGTAAAAGGCATGGCCTAACCAGCTTTGAAAGTTGTATTTTACACATAGTTGGATATTCACAGTATGTTGAAGAGTTATTTTCTCTTTTCGCCAGCAAAAGCACAGTCAAAATGAGTTGTGAGGAAAACTAAAGATTGTTTATAATTTTATGTCAGTATAAGTAATTGGCAGATGATATGTATATGTTGACAACAATTTGATTATAAATTTGATACATGACATATATATTAATTTGAATATATAATCTTGAAAATTGTTCTATCATTATCACGAATCCTTTCACAGTGCCCCAGATTCAGCCTAGACAAACACTTGGACGAGTTCACCAAAGCACACCTCAGTCTTATGGGCAACCTTGTCTTGCGCCAGCAGCAGGAAATAAAACAGCTCAGGGCAGACTTACAGGCTGCAGGAAGCAACACAAATGGTGTTCTTTTGTGGAAGATCCCAAACTTTAAGACCAAATTGGCAGAAGCCAAGCAAAAGAGCATGGAGTTGGTGAGCGTGCCTTTTCATGCTGGTGACAATGGATATAAACTGGCAGCCTCAGTTTTCATCAATGGCAATGGATCAGGAGAAGGAAAATACCTCTCACTCTACATCAAAATCCTTCAGGGGGAGTATGACAACTTGTTGGAATGGCCCTTTCAGTTACCGATCACCTTTACCATCTTTGACCAGTGTTCCATCTTGGAAAAGCGTGTGAACGTGATTGAGAGTTTTCTGCCAGATACCACTTGGAAACATTTCCAGAAACCCTCAAAAGACCAGGAACCCATGGGGTTTGGCTATCCCAAGTTTGTGTCCCACGAAACTCTCTTTACTAGGAACTATATCAAGGATGACACAGTATTTATCAAAGTGAATGTAGACACTGCCACCTTGTTGGGTCCTTAGATAATAAGTACCTCACCTGTTCACAGAGGTTATCACATTGTTTCTAGTTGCCAAAAAATTCATATAACAGACAAGGGGTATTGATATGAGTATAGCTATAGGTTATAGCTAGATTACTCTTAGAGTGCATTCCCAGAGATTTAGATCAATCCATCTAGATAGACCTAACTCCCTGGGGGTTCATGCTAAATTGCTGTTAGCAGAGTGTGCACGATAGTTAATTACCCTCTTACATCTTTTAGTAGGCGGGACAGACGCTTAAGCCGGCTAAGCTGACAGTAATCTAGTGAGACTCCCCACAGGGATAGATCGCTCTAAAATCTATGGGAATGGGGTCTTAATTTTGAATGTTGTTTTTATTTATATATTTAAGACTGATGTTGTGAAAGTAACACTTGAAAATGGTGAATGGCAGAAATTGAAGTAGTGGGTCTATGTGGATACCAGGACAGCCTATTTATTTTGTCTTAGGTGGAATGGACTGTTCCTCTTTACAAGAATCATGGTGCTATATTTTATTGTTCACATTTTGTCCAAGATGCTCACAGTCTTATACTGGTACCCACACAGTCCATATTTGATAGTATTTGTTACAAGTACTTTCCTGGAGGAAGTATTGCAATATTTGAATTATTTAGGCATATTCTTTTTTATGCTGATTGACTCCTTAATCTATAGCAGATAGGGTAGCACATGTTATGTATACAGTGGATTTCACTTGGAAGGGAACATAGATAGCAATATTATTTTTCCATCCATATTTTACTAATCTGTTAGGCTCTGTAACTCGCATGTTTATCATTGCTTTGATATTTTAAGGTTTTATTTGTTCAGTGCACATTATCAGTCCCAGTTTACAAAAAATGACACCTTCATCTAATTGTTGTGTGCCTTGAAATGTGCATGGCCTACATTAGCAATTTAACAATTATCCCTTATTATGCAGTGTGTAAATTTGTTGTATATCATATGTTAAGACCATTTTGCAGTAGGAAAAAAGGTTATATAGCTAGTTTAAGCTAATAAGGATTATGCCTCATAAAGTATGCTAGGGAAAAATTATTTAGAGCATGTTCAGTGGCAAAGATTTTTATAAGACAGTGGCTTACTGCAGCAAGTTGCAATGGATTAAAATTATTTTAAAAACTTCAATGACAAATTTTTCTTGTTTGTTGTAATGTGATTTCATTATACTAAACTTGTTAAGATTGAATTAATTTGAGTGGTCTAAATTATGTTACTTACATTTTGATAAATTAACATCTATCAATTTTTTGAGGCAAGGGTCTTTTAATCCAGGCATTTTGTATTGGTTGGGGCAGTAAAGTACTACATAATTCCTTTAGTAATACTCTTATAAGTCTCTTATGGATTTTTGTATTTCAGTTCAATGGTTTTGGCTATTAATGTGTAGGTATTAGTAAACCTAAAACATGTATTGGCTTCACACCTACGGGTAAAAAAATTACATCGAATAGTTTAAATGGTGCTTTGTGGTACATGCTTTTTGGTTAGACAAATGAGAAAACCAGTATGGTTTCTGCTCATGAGAATAATGCTTAATTTGTGTAATAAGATACAAGATATATTCACATATATATTTGTGGAATGAATTGTAAGATTGACTCTTTGAGAGCATAATATTGCACGACAAATCAGATGTACAGTGTAGGATCCTTGATGTCGTCTGCAAATGCTGGATGTTGTATGTGTGTTAAATGGCGATGGCTAATGATTGTCATGATAGAAAAAAAATGTTGTTCATTTTCTTTCGGGGACATTTTGAGCTGGTTCTCAATGGAGCCTTAAAAAATTGGAACCTATCATTTCGTGGAATATTTAGTTTTCAAATTATGCTTCTATCCAGTGATTTTTAATTCGTTAAATTTCTTTGTACGGCTTTGTATATCTTCTTTTGAGATTTTTTTTGTCTTTAAGTCTAAGAAAAAGTGTAATATTACATGTCATGGACTTGTATGGTACATTATGTGGCATGGTATTAGTTGGTTTATTTGTTTGTATATTACATATAATAAAGGTCATTTGTGATTTAACAACATTGTTTTAAATGCTTTTAATGAATTCAAACAAAATTGCTCAAAATTTTGAATGACAGACATTAAGGATAATGATATTAATATGGAATCATTTATATAAAAAAGAAAGGATGTCTGATACACAGCATCTCCCATACAGATAAAGTACATGGGACTGAAATCAAATTCCCTGGCCAAAAGAAAGACCTCAACATTAAGTCCATGTTTAAAGACAGTTTGCATGGTATATCTTTTTTGAAAAAAAAAATGTGAAATTATTCTGTTTCTCGGGCATACACGATTTCAAACAAGGAGAACAACTCTGCATGTTCATAATCATCATTTTTAAGTGTAGATGTCTCCTAGAGATGCAAATGCATCCATGATTAAATTTGCGCTCAACTATCGCAACGGAAAATTGGCTTGAAGGACAGCGAAAGTATCCATTTTAATTGTATTAGAGTGTATTACACCCGTCCTGTGCTTTATAACATCGGTATGCTATTTTGTTTCGTAAAAAATCTGTTTTTTTTTTTTTTTTTTTTTTTTTTGACACAAACTTATCAAAAAGTATGCCAATATTCAGCGATTTTGTGGATAATGATATCGGTCCCCTGAATAAACCTATACCAAGAATGAATGCAATGGAAATACGATATCAATATTGTCATCCACAACAAAATGTAACTTGAAGCATTTCTGTCTGTTGTACACACACACAAAAAAAAATGGTGATAGCTTTGACACAATTGTCTTATCTAGTAAAAGTGCAGTTTTACCCTCCTCACACCCACGACCACTTTCTGATCACGGCTGACACTCCATAATGGTCAGAAAGAGTAAAATTCTGGTTAGCTATGTTGGAATCGAGGACCCTCTGGAAAAAGACAAAAAATAACATTAACTGCATCAGTTATTTCAATATCCTCGAGCTACAGTAACTAAACTGAGTCATTCATCTGAAACGACCATCGTCGAAAAAATAGCATCCTTAACATTCACTAAAACCTTTGTAAGATGATTCTTCGAGCTGATGACCATTTTGCAGCGCAAAATGCTTAAACCGATTTGGAAATAGTATAGGATAAAATATATCAAGGACGAAACATCTGTAGCGATCTAGAAATTGAAGAAAAATCAAGATTTTTTTCAATTTCTGCATTTTTTGTAATTGACATTTTACACTTAAAGTAGCCTTTGGTGTTGGGTTGTAGACCAAAAACAAACAAACCACTAACCCTGACATCTCCAACTCTCAGCCAGGTCCACCAGCTGTATTTTGGGACAAATATGTGGTCGTACAATTTGTTTAGAGACGATGAAGACAAAGGATTCTCCCCACAGAAGGTGCATTCTCCAATCCTCTTCAGATACGGCGAGACGTACAGCCGGCTGACAAAATTGTACGTGTCAGTTAAAGCCCCGGTAATATTGTTAGCAGGGATGGCTGGATTAGCGTTAAAGTCACCAATTAATATGCTTTTAACGTAATCTGTCCTGGCAACTTTAAGCAAAGATTGTATCTCAAAGAGGCTCTGCTCCTTGAAGCTCGTGAAGGGGCCAACTTTGAAATAAGAGGAAGAAAGAATTAATGTAATTTAGCAGTATTTCTGTGTCATTTAATTTTTTTTATACTTTTATACATAGTAACAAATATGATTCCAGTAAAATGCCTGACTATAACTTGATATAAGAAAAGAACGACCATTGTATATTTACATGTACTTATACAGGTCTTCGTTAGTCAGCTACAAAAAATAAATAAATAAATAAAATAAATAAATAAATAGATAAATAGATAAAAAAAATAGAACAAACCTTCAAGGTAAATGTCTTTGCTCAGCTCAGAGACCAAGTGTGTGCAAAACACGTGGTAACCTTCTACCTAGAATTAATAAAAACAGACTTAAAATGATTTACTGAAGACCTCTGTAGCTCAGTTAGTAATGAGGGAAATTTAATTACTTGTTTTACCCTTCTCTGTGTTAATATGTTCTTTGCAGATAAAAATTAAACGTCATCCAGTCAGTTCGTGAAATAATAAGTGTTCTACTTATGAACAATACGAATGGTTGGATAATCAACCGAAATACGATCGGACACAGATATATCAAGCCATTTCCGTCTGCATTAGAAAGAGATTTAAAAACTTTAACACAAACCTTAGCTTTGATATATCCTCTCGGTACTATCAAGGAATTTCTCCCGTGGTAATTTACTACTTCAGGGTCAACCAAAGGTTTTTTACTGAGGAGCAACAATCCAAAGGTTGTCGGATAAGGAGTAGCAAGACAAGTCTGAATCCTGGCTTGGAAAGCAGGTAAGGTCAAGCTGGCCACTTGGGACGATGCAAAAATACGATTGAGACACGAAAAGCAGTCCTGCGAGAGAGAATCAAAAACTTCCCTGCACGTCGTTAGGGCACACATGACGTTCTGTAATCCACTCAAAGTTGAGCAGTTGGTCAATAGACATTGAACTACATTTGAAACAAGTGAAATATCGCAGGCAGGAGTTGATGAAGCGTTAGAAAGAACACCGTCCGAAATGTGCAATGTGCTGTAGGAGTAAGGAAACTGCGACACGGCGGCATTAACGATGGCGCGTAAGTCGTCTGCTTCCCAAACTTCTTGTAGACAGACGACATCGCCAGGAATGTTTCCGTTGGTTACTGTGTCCAGGAATGCATCTCGGCGGTTTTCATACCTATTTAATTGAAAAATAGTGTATTATTTTTGACTCAGAAACAGAAACTTCAAATCTAATCATGCGATATCAAATAAGAGGTAGAAATCAATCTACATGTATATAGTTTATGCTGGACTTAAGATTACATTTGCCATGCGAATGTCCGTACGGCACCCACATACTGCCCATGAATCCCTTTTCGTCTGTGCGGAGAAAGACGGTGGCCATGCAAAATCGTGGGAAATCGAACTGATTCACGGTCTCCGTAGCCTCTACGGTTTATTCAAGCTAAAAATTTTGACAAATTTTTGCCATCGTAAGTCCGGATCTGTAGGCAATAGCTTTATTGTAAATGACATTAGGCCTAATTCCACAGCATTACTGTAAATGACATTAGGCCTAAGTCCACAGCATTGTACGGTGATAATGGTTGAACTGTTGTTGGTCTCTTTTCCCTCCCATATTTGGTGGTTTGGTAGGCATAGCGATATTGGAGATGTTTAAAACTTACGTATTTCAGTTAAGTATAATTCATTTCATCTGAAAAAAAGGGTGAAAAAATCGCATGGCAAAATTAATCTAGGCTTTAGTCTTTTCCATGATATGCTACTACATATACCAAGTTTGAACGGTTCCCTGTCTTGATCAGTTCAGAATCCTATGCTGGAAATACCAAACAAGCCCTTCAAACAAAATAAATCAACACAGAAGACCCAGCAAAAACAAAATACTGGCTTATTTCCCTGTTGAAGGTGTACCAATTGCAAAGTCGGATCGTCACTTCGTAATGTTAATTTTTTGTCTATTAATTAAAAAAAATTCCTTCTTTTTTTCATCAAATAATATTTAATAAAAATATTTTTTTATTATAAACAGAAACTTATCTCTAGAAGTGGTAATATGACACATGAGATATACATATACTCATATTAATTAATTCCTAAGTGTTCTTGTAAATCACTTATTAACAGTATTTAACGTACTTGGGTACTTCAGAGACGTGCAGCCCAGTGTTAAAAGTAACAACTTCTAGTTCGGAGCGTTTCCAAAACCCCGGCAATCCCCATGGATTCCAGTAAGGACTGTGCGGGAATGCAGCAACACTGCAAAGAAGAAAAAATGTCGAGTGGCGTTCTCGACCACATAAACAAATAAAATGCAAATTACATGTAACAGCGGGTTCTTCCAAGGTATTCTGCTGCTGTCAAGGATACTAAGTACTATGGCAACTATTTGTTATTCGGAGTCATCAAGGTACATGTAATGTAGGCCTATCACCAGTCTGGTAAACGGCGGTTGAAATATTCCTGTGTGCCTGGTCCTTCTGACGACTTATCTTTTAATATTTAAATATTATCACTATTTTGACCATTTCCCTGTGGTCACAACCACCAGTCTTTGAATAGTTAATGGAAAATACCTTTTGTGTTTTTAATACAATTGCTGAGAAATAAAAAAAAATTCATTTACATGTTAGCTTTGTTGAAATGACAAGAAGTCTGAAAGTACAATGAATAAGTGAAACGTTGGCTTGCTACGAAATGAAAACGACAACAAATAGCCTTATTTGGTAATCTAAGCCATTTTAAATTACAAAGTCTATCATTTTGTTCTCTAATTGTGTAGAGGTTAATTTTTCATACTTACTATTTCAAACCGGTATAGGCGGTAAGAATGGCACCAAAAATCACAAGCCTTGCAAAGGAAGGTCCACACATTTTCATATTTGTTGTAGACAGCAGCTTGCGTTAAACTAACATAAAGGATCAAGTCGTTTCCCTTATAGCATATAAGACCGTTTAAAAATAGATCTCTAATGACGTTCAGTCAACAGGGTTGGTATGTGGCCAATGTTGGTATCACCTTTGTATCTGTATGATGCATCCTTATGATAGTTTCTTAAATCCATATTAATTCCAAACATTACTTCATTTTGTTTGTTTGTGGTGACGTGTGACCAGGATATCTAGACGATGAGGGTGACAGATGAAATGTACGACTAGAGACACACACGGAATTTATTTATTTATTTATTTATTTATTTATTTATTTATTTGTTTGTTTGTTTGTTTCTTTGTTTTAATTCCTTATTTCCATCTTTTTTTAGTATTTTTAGTATTTTTAGATGTAAGTCAACTCGATTTGCATGTAACTTTTAAAGATAATAAATTGCCCATTACACTACGCTTGACTTCTTCAAAACAAATTTTGTGTCTGAAAACACTGCTATTCTTTTAAAATATCCCAAAAAGCTTTAGACAGTCATTGTAATGAGGTTTTTATTGCTTCACCCTCTGTAAGTTTTCCATAAGAACAATAGTAGGAATAGTAAGAACACATTCTTTGACGTCAGGAAAGGCATGTAGCAACATATTGTGTAGCGCATCTGTTGGCGTGCACTGTAACTGGTATTTACACTGACTTCTTGGGTGTTGTCATTGGTCTTCAAAAAGGAAAAAAAAGATAAAGCGTCAAATAAGTCAGAAAAGAGACTACTTGCTGTACGAGTACATAATGAGTATTTCCGTCCCCAAACTGCATACCGTTACTGTATACTGATAAATTCATTGATTGGGTTGACTGTAATCATTATGATGTTAATACGCATACGCTGACATGTAAGCAGGATATGGATTTTTTTGGGAACAACATCCTTAGAATTCATTTAAACAAAACAGATAACGTAAGATATTATGCTCAGCTGTCGCAATCAGTTACTGTGTCCGTTTTAATAATATTGTGACCCTTTCGGATTAAAGGTACATACGAACCGAGCATCGGTGGAGCGTGGATTCCAAGTAACACATGTAAACCACTTCTTCTAGTTTTGTATACGACTCAAATAAATTTGACATGCCAAGGGAAAAACTGAATAGATCACTCGATCAGCCATGAAATAGCTTTAGACTGTTCCTTTCTTTAAATTTTTGGTCGGAAATTTAACCCACTTTCGTGACCTACTTTTCTGCCCCATTGACACACAGCATAGAATGCTAGCAGAAAAATCCGTTCAAACATAATTTTTGGATAAAATTAAACAATTTCTTTTGGTAATTCTCTTAGTTATACTACTTCAAACTTTATGCTGGCATTTGGTCGCTTTTTGTGACAAAAAATTGACTTTGTATGCATCTTTAAGAAGAAGTAAAATTCGATATCTGTTTTTTTTTTCATACTTATATTTTTGGTGACAGTAATTAATAATGAAATAGACAGTCCTTCTGTTACAAAATGTTTACTGTTTCGCCTTCAGCACCAAGATATACGCTATCCAAAACCCTTGAAAAAAGATCCATAGATTCATCCACGTTCTGTATTTATTTATTTATTTATTTTAATTAGTTAGGAATGAAACTCAACCGTCTCTATCTTTGGTTAATGATATACTTTGGTAACAGGAAATTCCGGAATAATTAAATTTTTGCTATGCTATGTGAAGGTCAAATGCTTATTGTGTGCCTTTAATAATCTTGAAAATCTTCGGTGAAAGAAAACGTGGACGAATAAAACTGTTATTTTTCTTCTCCCAACTGCCATGACCATTTCTCATATGAGACAGACACCCCATAATGGTCGGATAAAGGAAATTGCTGGCCTGGAATGTGGGACTCCAAGACCCTCTGGAAAAGGAAATATTAAGAATTCATACGCATGTGCATCTGTATCGTATGGCGAAAAGTACTGTAGCATCAAAACTCCTTTAGAAATAATTAAATTTGTTAGGATGAATTCATAATGAATCAAATTGTTAATCAAGAGAAACTGGAAAGGTTAGGAAAGCATGAAATGTATCATTGTTGCCCTCTAGGAGTTAAGGGAAGACTGATATGTTAAACAAATTTAAGATTCTTTTCCAATTACCTTCCTTCTTCGATCTCATGAATACATCTTGTGCAATAATTAAATAAGTATAAAATTGATTTCTTTCTTTAATCTTACCTTCACGCCTTTTCTTTTCTCGTAACTCCACCAACATGTCGGCACAAAGATATGGTCGTACAATTTGTTTGGTTCCAATGGTGGAGTCAAAGGATTTCCTGCGCAGTATGTGCATTTCCCAATGTACAGCAGGTACGGAGAGAAGTACCACTGACTTACAAGATCGTATGTGTCTATTAAAGAACCTGGTATACCGTATATAGGGATGGCTGGATTAGAGTTAAAGTCGCCTATCAAGATACTATTCACGTAACTTGACTTGGACGCCTTTAACAAAGAATCCATCTCAAAGAGACTCTGTTCTGCGAAGTTCGTGAATGGTCCAACTGTAATGTATAAAAAAGATGTTCTTTATTGTTATATTTTCGTATTTTTTGTTTTATTTCATTTTTGCTATAGCTATTACTTCACTAAAACGTTTTTATTTATCATTTATTTTGACGCAATATTTGATAACACAATGCTGCTAAAAAAAAATAAATTTACAAACCTTCAAGGTAAAGATATCTGTGCAACTGTGCGACTAACTGAGTGCAAAATAATTGGTAAGCCTCTATCTAAAAATGGTAGATAGAATAGATATATCACAACTTTATTTTGTCAAACACGATCAAAAACAAGAATATACATTAAATGCATAAGGATGAATTCCATGTATATCCCACTTATACTTCCATGATACACATACAAAACAAAGCTGGTTTTAAAATTGACTGGCAATTTGCGCTTGAGATATGCGATACATGTTTAAAGTATTCAAGCTTCCCTTAAAAAGGGGAAATTCGAAATAACATTTAGAGATTTGGTCGTACGTGAAATGCATATAGGGAACGAGTAAGGGTTTTTGAATGAATGAATAAGGTATCTATAATTCTATACCTGTATACCAACAAAAATTGCCTCTCCAGTTGTAAAGTTGCACACTTCCCAATATCCCATGAATATAAAAAAAAATCAAAATTGGTGGAACACTACACATTAAAAATTATAAGGATACAAATTACAAATCAGTTACTTTTCAAATTGTATACTAAGTAATACAATCAAACGAAATGCTTAAAAATAGTTTATTGTTTAATGTAAACACAAACCTTTGCTTTAATATATCCTCTTGGGAGTATCAGAGAATTTCCTTCGTGGTAATTAACAACTTCGGGGTCAACCAAAGGTTTTTTACTCAGAAGCAGCAATCCAAAGGTGGTCGGATAAGGAGTGACTAAGCACACCTTCATCCTGGCTTGTACAACGGCGACAGTCAAGTTGTCTGTATGGAACGACGCAAAAACGCGGTTAAGACACGAAAGACAGTCTTGCGATAGAGAAGCAAATGCTTTCTTGCACGTCGATAAAGCACACATGACGGTCTGTAGTCCAGTTGATCCAAGACAGTACTTATTAAGACACTGTACCACATTAGCAATAGCCACCTCTTTGCAGGCAGGGGTTGATGAAGCGTTAGACAGAACACCGTCCGAAATGTGCAATGCGCTGTGGGAGTAAGGAAACTGCGACACGGCGGCATTAACGATGGCGCGTAAGTCGTCTGCTTCCCAAACTTCTTGTAGGCAGACGACATCGCCAGGAATGCTTCCATTTGTTACTGCATCCAGAAATGCATCTCTGCGGGTTTCATACCTATTTAAATAATTTTGTCACTTAAAAGTTTGGATTTGTCATTTTCATTTAGAGCTTATTTTGCATAGTGCGACAAAATGTTCTTACAAAATAAATTAGGCTTCGTTCACATGCAATGTCTATTTTCTAAATTCTATTTTCTATTCGCGCTATCTTATGATCACGGTCTGTGCCCTGAATATCCCGCCGCTTAATTACTGGCAGCGCGAACCAGTTACTTATAGTAACTTATAGTAACTGGCTCGCGCTGCCAGTAATTACGCCGCGGGATATTAAGGGCACAGACCGTGATCATAAGACATACCGCGAATAGAAAATAGAATTTAGAAAATAGACATTGCATGTGAATGAAGCCTAAATAAATAAATAAATAAATAAATAATTAGAAATAAATTCGACGCTCCCTGAATAATAATTAGAAAAAAATACGATTTCTAACGAAATTATTTATCCAGTGGGAAATATTTTAACTTACTCGGGAACGTCATCAACGCGCAAACCTGTGTTAAAGGTAACAAATTCCAGGTCGGAGGGTTGCTCTAGTACCTCTGGATTCGGCTCAGTAGTATCATTAAGTGCAGCAACGCTACAAATATAAAGAAATGAGTTAAACTCCTTTTACCGATGCATTGGGTTGTTAGTCGATCCTAGTCAGGCAACTGCACTGAATAACCTTGCGCGCGTTATACGTCACAGGTCTTGCGTAACTAACCACGTGCTACGATTTTTCCCTTGGGGGGCAGCAAGCGGACATTTTGTACAGGAGCAATGCAAAGATGGGTGAATGCGATACGTTGTTTTTAACCGAAGACGATGTTTCCGGGGCGAAACTGCCAACACCAAAAGTAAAGGATCATGCCAACTTTGTTTTGGAACGATGTTGTTAGCCTGTCAGTGGCGAGTTGGGGAGAAAAGAGCAGCATTGATAGCAAGGTACTGTGTACACGTGAACCGGCAAAGTTAATGATAATTTCGTGTTGCAAAAGCATAATGAATTTTTATAGTTATTTTCCAAACGATACTATTTGAATAGCAGATACATAGATCTTACTAACAACAATGTAACATTTTGATGACATTGAAAATCAAAAGCTGATGTGCACGATAGTTTGAGGAGGACACGGCGACAGCAAGTTATGCATAACATTTTGCTATATAACACCATATCATATCATATGCTTGTGTCGTTGATAACTCTGTGGTATTATTGCTATTGTTGCTGCTCAAATTAATACCTGATATTATTTCCCAGGCTACCAAGTACATATCAACTCATTTTTGTGGCATTTGACCATTACATCATGTGTGCAGGTTATTATTATTATTATTATTATTATTATCATTATTATTATTTGATCAAGCACATTTTGATAAAGTGGCCATGCTTTAACAAGAGAGAGTCAAAATTCATGCTGAATTTTTAAAGATTAAATCATCACTAGTATGTGCAATTAAAGCTATTTGATTATACATATTTGATTTTCAATTATATTGATTATGATATGCGGTTTCTGCCTTTTTTCTCTCGCCCTGAAATAAATTAATTCATAACAAGTAAATTGATAGTGCTTTATTACATTTTTGCTTTATACTTTCAGATGCAAAAACTGCGTAGAAGTTGATAAAGCTGTAGAGAATGATGTGAGCATAGGTCAGGGGAAATAGTATTATAGAAACTAGGAGGACAAGACATAGATAATGTACTAGTAGATCCGTCATCACTGCAAGGGTAGTTTGTGTGATCCTGTCCCTGAAACTGTGCCACAAGTTTTCAACTGCTTGAGTCCTTACTAAGACAAGCCGCTGCGGTGTGAATTGCAATATGTACATTCAGGTTATATGTGTCAGATTGATGACAAAAAAGACCTCCACAATATAATTCAAAGGAGTTATCCTTGCATCTATGCCTCATCAAAAGTACACAGTGACAGTGACTAGAACATTGTTTGCAAATAGTGAAGCAGTGAAGGCTGCAAGGTGCCATTGTTTTTCAGTATTAAGAATGACAGTATCTGTTTTTTATTACTTATTCATTTTTAACTCACTTTGTTCTTTAAAATGCCCATTCAGTTTAAGGTTGGTGGCAATATATGGTATATCTGTCATGCCTGTACACATGTATGTAGAATTTCTCTTGCTCAAATTTCTACATTTATTGAGGGCATTATGAAGTTTCCTGACTGATTAATGAGGTTACTTGTAGAAATATCTTGCCTACACACATTTTGTGAAATTTTTACTACTTTATACATATGATTATTTACATCTCATCATTTGTGTGTGAAAGGTACTTGGTATTTGCATTTTAGAACTGTAGATCTGTGTACCAGCAGATTTATAATGCAGTAATATATGTTGATGTTTCTGAAAATAATATTCATGTTTGATAATTAATTGGTTTGAAAATAAAATAACTCAAATAAAATTAATTCATTTTTTTATTTTACGTAATCTGTTTTTATTATTTCTTCTAAGCATTTAATCATAACAACTCCCATGATGTCAATATACTGTTATTGTGTAATAATACTGAAAGGTTCCAAGTTTTTATGAACAGGTTGATGCTAACGTATTACAAAAAATTATAAGCATCACAGCATATTTCCTTACTGATATATATCGGACGTACCACTGGTATAATACCGGTAGAGATACAGGTAAAGATGACAGCATTGATAACTGGGTTTACGGCGCTGTTAGTACAGCGTGGTTAGTGTCAGATTGTTATCTGATAAAGTTTGCTACTAGTTCCTGGGAACAAAAGGTCTGGCACTGGACAATCAAGTTGATAAAATCACAAAAACGCCGGTAGAAAACAAAGCATACCTGCCCAACGTTGATTTGTTCAGATTCTTGACTAAGGGGTGTGTTACAAGTGTCAAAGGCCAAGTCTTACCTTGTAAACTTAGGGGTTTGGCATGTCACTGGACATTCCTCGCTATTTCTACCCAAATCTAATAAAGCCTCATTTGCTTAACTTTGGCCAAATTTCCAATATCTACAGGTTGTGTAGTTAGTTTAATGCTTCGGGATTCTCTGGCAGCGCTTAATGTTTGGGACACCTGTGCGGCCCGTCAACGCACCTAGACCCACTTTTGCCAGTGCCACATTTTCCAGTGCCGTAAATATCAAATTTGTGAATAGAATGAGGAATAATGACAGTTATGAAAAATGTTCGGAAGTACTTGTCACCTTCACAGTAACCACATGGGCTGTGCTGCCCCCCCTCCACAGGCGACACCTTGCGGAGCAAGCGTGCGTAATCCAGAGTGCAACTGAAAATAACCTTGTCGCGCGACCTAATTCTTTAAAATCAGCACCAATGCCATATTAACAATATACTTGTATTAAAGGGTATGGTTGTTTTAACCAATCTTTTGTTCAATTTGTGGCTTGTGTATGCCCAGTTACCAGTGGTTTACATTGAAAAGACGGTTGGATTAATGCTGCCTGTAAATAATGCCTTGCCGAATAACTTAATAACATGCACGAATACTGTAATTGATAATCATTGCACGTAAAGCCCTTCTCACCGTTGTATTGACAGTCATTTATGGATATACATTGTATTTTAAAGTTAAATAACACAAAGCTGTCTATATAAACACCTTTTGTCAAATGTTTTATTGCCCACGTCTTGTTGATATGGGCAACCAATTTAGCAGGTTAGCAGTTTTAACTACCCAACGTCGAAAGAAACTGGTTCCTTTCAAAGGGTTAAGACTTTCCTTACAGACCAATGGTAACGAAATTCCCAAATGCCTCAAAACACTGCACACTCGCTATTTGGAGCCTGGTTTTGTATTTAGTGTTCTGTTCATTTAACAAATTATTTTTTATTGTTTAAAATATTACATAATGCATATTCAGCTTATGATTACGAACAAATGCTTGGTTTCAGCACGCACAATTCGCAAATTCTTCACATTGCGCATTGCGACGTAAAATATCGAACAAAGGCCTGTAACTTTTCAGAGAATCAACACGACATACACTGTATGTCGTAGGTCACTAAAACCAGCACATCTATACTTCTGCTACTGGTGCACGATGGATGACTTTTACTAAGGGAAATAAATACGCGGGCCTCCCCCTTTTTTACTTACTATTTCCAACTGATAGTTCCCGTAAGAAGAACGGCAGCCAACAGCACCAACGCCGGTGATGAAAACCCTTGCATTATCTTGTTTGGTGCATGCAGCTTGCTTTGAATGCGCTTTAACTGTTACGTCGTGCCTTTTATACATGGAAGTGTCAATAAAGAAGGGAAGGTACTTACAGCTGACATTTTTGCTGAATGACAGGCCACGGTGCTGCCGTTGAAAACAAAGCAGTCGTGTTCATACATGTGTCTTGTGTCATGTCAAAGGGAGCCCAGTCCACAAACTTGATATTTAATATGGAATATTTAATTTTGGAAAGTATAGATACATGTACATGATAATGTAGAAAAATTACAATTCTTTGGGGAGCGAAAATTGAAAATATCATTATACTTATTCTATCATTTTCTTTATGTCAAATTTTTCCATACATACCAGTACAAGGTGCATACTAAAATAAAAGGATAAAGTTATTCTTGGACGAATTTGAAAGTGTTTCTGCTGAGGTTTGACAACTTTTTTAACTTTCAAAATTGCTTTGGTTAATTTTTTCGACGATGAGACACTGGAGACCCTTTGAAAAGTCTCAGATTATCCCAAGAAGCAAAGTGGTGCTGTATTTGGTGTATGAATCATACTACATTAATGTATCAGTACAAAAAAAAGTATTAAGTCTCAGTGAAATGTTTTAAAGCACAATTTATTGCAAATGTACTTAGTTAACTACATGTTGAATTACCAAACGCTGTTTATCTGTCTAGTGTCAGGCTTATACATGTATAACCATCGTATAAGTAATAATTATCATACAACATCGCAGAAATAATAAAAAACACAAATATTAAAATACAAGATAACATTATCCATATCATATGTTACTCCTATCTATAAGTTCTTTACTATAATATCTATTATTTTTCTCACGTAAATGCCTTCCCTAGATAAACAACTTACCTAAAAGATTTGTAATGAGAAAGTCAGTTTTTCTATAGTGATGGTAAGCAACAAGTATTTCATAATGGAGAACCTTATGAATATGCGAGGATGTGCCATAGGGACTATCCCTAGGACTCCCATTAAGTAAATATTGCATTACTTTTTTCTTTTGTTCTTGGATAATACATCCATTAAATCACAAAAACACGAATAGAAAACGACATAATAACAAAACACATTAATGTATTGTCATATAAATAAAAGAGAGTCTGGCGTCATTTTCTGTTAACACAAATAAATTAACGCCATCTTTGAATGCTTAAAATTCAAGAACGTTTCCCACTACATTAACAACTGTCTATGTATTCCACCACTAAATTAGACAGGATGTAGCAACTTTATGAAAAGATGTGATCCTCTTGACATTTTAAATGTAATTAAACCAAACAGAGGCAGCGCAAGGTGCTTGTAAGGATAATTACATGTATATGACATACATACCTAGAGATGTTATATGACCGTGGAGATATACGCTTTATTCGGTTTTAAGAGTGTTTCTCTGTGTTTCAGATATGTTAGTTGACTAAGTTATTCTGAATGTGCCCTAACTGTGACTTCGGATGCACGAAAAAAAAAAAAAAAAAAAAAAAACATATTTTCTTCAGGCCCGTAGCCAGCAATTTCAAANCGAACCCCCCTAGCTACGGGCCTGTTCTTTATTGATATGTTGACTGTTTGTCCCGATCGTCAGCAGTGAAGGAGACTTTTAATATAATTATTTTGCTATGCATTATTGATCACATGAGTAAAAGTACAATAATAACATAGACTCTTTACTGTAGCTGCCATGACCACTTTTCAAATGTGACCGACACCCCGTAATGGTCAGAAAGAGGAAAACCTTTGTTCTTTATGTTGGAGTCCAGGATTCTCTGGAAAGTCAACGAGAGTATAATGTACTATAAGTTGAAACAATGATGATTTATAAGCTGTAAAAATCAAACTCTTCATCCAAGTAGGAAATGCCGGTTTTTTCAACTGGGCATAAAAACATCACATATCAACATAATGTTCCTTTTAATTATGAAAAAGAAGTGTTAATCAAGGAAGGGCAGCCAAGGTAAAATTTATCCTTCATAGTGCTACTGCATTAATATGTTTTTTTTTTTTTTTTTTTGTTTCGCATACATGTACAATATAGGAATACATACATACATACATACATACATACATACCCGGGCATCTTCAAGTTTCTCCCAACTCCACCAGCAAAATTTTGGGACAAAGATGTGGTCGTACAGTTTATTGAGTTGAAACCGTCGAGCTGATGGGATCAAAGGATTTTCTGCGCAGTATGTGCATTTCCCAATCTTCATCAGGTACGGAGAGAAGTACCACTGACTTACAAGATCGTATGTGTCTGTTAAAGACCCAGATATATCGTTAGCAGGGATGGCTGGATTAGAGTTAAAGTCACCTATCAAGATACTGTTCACGTAATTTGGCCAGGATGCTTTTAACAAAGAATCCATCTCAAAGAGACTCTGTTCTTTGAAGCTAGTGAATGGTCCCACTGTAATGTAAGTAAAGGTACTGTCATTGATCTCATACATTTTGGTCTAGTTTTCTCTTTATTGAAAACTATCCACAAAATATAAGAATGATCACTTTTTTAGCGTAAACCTCTATAAAACTGTGCTATTAGAAAGAAAATACATCAAACCTTCAAGGTAAATGTATTTGTTCAGCTCGGAGGTCAAGTGAGTGCAAAATATTTGGTAGGCATCTATCTGGAATTATAAAATGAAGGCACTGTCTTCTTTATTCATATTTTAATGTCAACAAAACATATTAATTTCAATTTTTCAGATGCTGTATGAAATTACAAGTCCAACGTAAAAAAAGCTGACAATTCATATTGGTACAATGTAGGCCCACATGTAATTTTGCACTTCCGCACGCACACACACTTACACACACATACTATTTAGCACGTGTACCAGTCAATCATATATCTGTTTTAAAACATCCTTTATATATCTATTTGGTATACGAATCATGTAAAAGGTACAAGAAAATAAAATGATTTCAGCCTTTATACAAACCTTAGCTTTAATATACCCCCTGGGTAGTAAAAGAGAACTTCCTTCGTGGTAATTTATTACTTCTGGGTCTACCAAAGGTTTTTTGCTAAGGAGTAACAATCCAAATGTAGTCGGATAAGGAGTACCAAGACAAGTCCGAATCCTGGCTTGGAAATCGCCAAGGGTTAAGTTGGCCACCTGAGACGATGCAAAAATCCGGTTGATACACGACAGACAGTCCTGCGAGAGAGAAGCTAAACCCTCCTTGCACGCCGTTAAGGCGCACACGGCGCCTTGTAATCCAGTTAAAGTTGTACACTTGGTTGAAAGACATAGGATCACTTTGGAAATACTTGCCTTTTCACAGGCAGGGGTTGATGAAGAATCCGAGAGGACTGTATGAAATACGTGCAAGGCACTGAAGGAGTAAGGAAACTGAGACCGGGCGGCTCTCACAATGGCGCGTAAGTCGTCTGCTTCCCAAACTTCTTGTAGGCAGACGACATCGCCAGGAATGCCTGCATTGGTTACTGTGTCCAGAAATGCATCTCGGCGGCTTTCATACCTATTTAAATGACACAAATGATAGGACAGTTTGGTAATTTTATCTTACTTATTGTTTCAATTCAACCGTTCTGACGTAAAGAAAGAAAAGATAGCTGCTCAAGTTTATTGAAACAAAATGTTTGGGAACATATCTTCTCTTTTTTTTGAAATTATGACACATTGTTTCATTTTTAACTCACTCGGGAACATCAGCTGCGTGCAGGCCTGTGTTAAAGGTTACAAACTCCAGGTTAGAGGGTTGCCACAATGGCCTGGGGTCCTGTAAAACTGGACCAGGAAGTGCAGAAACACTACAAAGTCAAACAAGTAACATTAAGTCCACAATGAGATAAAAAAAAAGAATCACATCATAATGTTTAATGGGCAAAATTGCAATTATTACCAGTTATCAAATACTTGCTACATCTTCTCAAACAAATTTGGGTAAAGTAATATTTTGTTTTTATAAACGTATTTAAAAACGAATAATTATCACTCGGTGAGCAACTTTCAACTAATCAAAACGCTACACAAACACTTCCTATTTTAGCTTATGAATTCAACTTTACGCGAGCAGTATGCGTCAATAACGCGTTAACAAATAATACACATCAACATTTTTATACACATTAACATTTCTATACCGACGGGTAGAAAACGTTTCTTCCTTTTTTTAATTTTTACTTTGCCTAAATTACGACCCTAAAGTGGCTAAATTGTTAAATATATCGACATTAAATATGCACATTGAATAACTATAACTTGAGAAAATACACCGGTATACTGTATGTTGGCCCTTAATATTGATTTTTCACTTACTATTTCCAATCAATATTGGCGGTAAAAAGAATCAAACTCATCAGCACCAGCGTCCGTGAGGAAAGCATTATCCCGTTTATTGCAGACATCACGAGTTGAAGCTACTGAAAACTTTTACATCGACAAATAAACATAAAAGTGCATGGAGTGCAGCATTAACAATGAAAATGACATTCTTACTGAAGTGAGACCGTAGCGATGGGGGTGAGAATATCGTTGGTGAGTAGAGGCTTTATACGCTTAAAGCTATAGACGATGGTTCTTCAGCTCTAGCTCTTGCTAGATTTCTTTATAATATTTTTTCAATATGTTTGAAAACAGCGTTCATTTTAAATCAAGAAATTACACTGATGAATGTGTGAACATGATAATAATATGCAATGGTCTGCCATTAAGGCTCTCGTCAGTTCCTAGGTTATTTATACACTTACGATTAATCCATTTGCTGTTATCCGTTTACTTTTCTTATTTTCAATATCCATTCACTAATTTATTTATCCCTTAATTTATTTATTTACCTATTAATTAATTGTTATTTTTCATTATTTGCTTGAAATCATAAACACAATTAATCGTCATGTGTTAATATAGCAATATATAGTTTCTCTCAAATTTTCATTCTTCAAATAAATTACAGCTGTCCTGCTGTTCAAGCTTTTCCATTCACACCACTCTTACCGTAATATTGGAGGATAAAATTCATGAGGTTATCTACTGTAACCACAATACGGGAGGGAAACTAGGTTCTTTAAAAAAAACTTAAAGGATGCAACATGTGATCCTTCGACAGGATAGAACTTAGGAGTGGCGGCTTACGTTGTTTTCATGAATAATTGCATTCCGTTACATAAAACAGCGCAAGTACATGTATAATGAAGCAAGGCGGTAACACGCAGATATTCACACACTGTCGGCACATTTACAATCCACCTGTGGCGGCATAACTTACTGTATAATCTAACCAATCCCACTGATGACCCTGAACTTTGATATCACTGGGGCCTTTAGTATATCATGTTGAAAATTGAAGAAGATTCAACAATTTTGTAACGAACTAATAGCGATCCCGATGGTCAGAGATAAGCTGATCCTGACCAAGGAGTTTCAACAGGACTCCTTGTCCTGACAAAGTGCAGTGGCAGTAGGAGGGCCTAGACTGTCTTTCCTTGGTAAGAAATTGTAATGCTGCGGTCTACTAAATGCAGAACAGCTGTAAGTAGACTGTGAATGCTTTTAGGTACACGGATTGGTACTCCAAGAATCGCCAAACATACTTGCTTGTAACATGTCCCAATTATTTACAAATATGGTATCCTTGGGTGAAAGAAATAACAAGATCACCTGAAGATAGAATATTCATATGTACTTTAACTTCTTGGCTGTAGAAATAACACTGAACAATAATCTTTTACCTTCATAAAGACTCCACCTACAAAGTAAACGCAGTTTAACATACTTTTAAAAAATATGTTTTATTTGCCCCTGTCTTTAGTTTTAAAATTAACTGATTGTGGAATGTTTCTGCAACTTTTTAAAATCATGTGAATATTCAGGCACGGTCCTGGAAATTTGAGATGAATCCAAACAGACCATGAACACATTGTCAATTCCAAATAATAAATTATTCCATAACATAAAGATTGTTATGTTACAATACATGTAAGTAAAACTTTGCCAACTGACAGTCTCTTGGTGGTTTCCTCCTTGAATATCACCTACAAGTGTTGCCCTTATTAGCCATTACACATGTAGCAGATTATAAAAAAGACTGACTGAGATTTCCAATCTGTCACCTAGTAGATTCAAATGGGTACAGTAGTACAGGGTGACACCTGATGCTAGTACATTACACAGGTGACAACCATTTCTTATGAATGTCTAGCTGATGCCAAACCCACTGGTACCAGTAAGAAATGGGTCGTCTTATTTCCATCCAGACTACATTATTTACTATTCATAATGCTGAGTTCTTCCTTGTCTCGGCTGTCATGCATTGCATTGAGAAGTCCAGACAAAAACTTTTCAAATTCCGTACGTACATTCTCTCCATCATCATCAAGGTTGGTGTTGACAACACTGATTTTGCTAAATGCCTGGGCTGTAACGGAAGAAATAAAAAATAATCTTGTTATTTTAATTTCATGTTTAAAGTGCATCAGTTATGAAACTAGCACTAGTAAAACTTAATGAGAAACAGATATTCATCTTTTTTTGATTATCATACATGTGGTGTTTTAATCAATAAATTGTACACTAATCTAAATATGTAATAAATAACAGACTATCATCAGTTTTGCATTTTCATTATGTGTTGATTTATAGGTTCACAAAGTACATGAGGACAAACTAAATAGCCAGATGACTTAACTAGTATAACAGTTAAATCATGTTTGAGAGTAAAGCATGGTATTTAATCATCAAATCTTGGATAATAATTAATTTATTCCGGGTGACTAAAGTTCTCCTTTTTGTACACTTACGTGGTCCTGTCCCTCCACTCTGGCCCAAAAAACCAGAGGAGGATCCTTTTTTGTGTGCAAACAGTAAGCATTGAGTGTCTCGCAAACCAGGGACACTTACAAAATGTGTATACCTGAAGGATAGTGAAAAGACACTCACAGAAAGAGAAAAACACAATATGGGGAAATAACTGATTTTTCCACAGCACCTCAAATACCACAAAAACAAGGAAAAAGACAACTATCTGACTTTTCCAGGGGAAAATCCAGATTTTCTCCGAAAAATTAAATTGTTTAATAAATTTGTGTCATGTGTGGAACAAGACTTCACAGACTGGATAGAGCCAAAGCAGTACTTGAAGAATAAAATTGCAATAACAAGCAAAAATATATACACAAAAAAGGAAATATGACAAATGATATATAAATATCTGAAAAATATAACCAATGCTTTAAAGGCAGCATCTGTAAGAATAAATAAATACACAAAGAGAAAAAGAGAAGTTCTCCTGTCTGCTCTGGAATCCATTTTACTTACACATCTGGAACTTAACACGTTCAGTAGTAGTGGGTTTGTGATGTGCAAAAGCAATGCACTGAGGTAGCTTCACACCAGAGACTCTCATGAAGTACGTCAACCTACAGTGCACAGTGGGTAAATTATGAACGTTTGTCAAATCATGTTGGGATCATGGCAGCAAAATGATAGTTTTCACCTGACAGCAAGAGATTGCATGAAGTTTTTGCCAATTTGAGAGTAGTGATAACTGTTTGATAAACGTTTTCTTTGGCCCAAGGTATACAATCTTTAATGTCCAATATATTTCCACGTGGTAAATAAGCTCAGTGTGGTATGTGAAAAAAAAATGTGAACCATATTACAGCAGAAGATGTAGGACTATTTTGCTAGATAAATGTTATCATCTAAGCTTAAAATTACACAGATAAGACATACAGAGCACTCAATGAATATTGTATGTTCTATACTTGATGCAGGTTTACTATGATATATTAAAAAAGTGTAGGAAAATGGAAGGCCAACTTACCACATTTCTAGGTCCTTATCATGATTTGCCTGATCTGGGTTATACACAAACACTATCCCATTTGCATCTTTTGCAATAGCTGGCCAGCAACTTTCAAACCTAGGAAATATTGTTAACACAATTATAACAAAGTGCATCAATTACATGCTACCTATCCATGTTATATATTGAAATGGGAACTGTTTAACTTTTCTTTGTTTCTTTCAAATGTACCTTCAGTCCACGAACAGCATGTAGTTCATGTAAAATCAAATGAAGACTACCCAGATATATACTGTACACAGTATACAAAATATTTAACAAAGAGCACTTAGATGAACTAGTACCCTGCTCCAAAATGGAAATTAATGCAACACAAAAAAAAAAAAAAAAAAAAAAAAAAAAAAAAANAAATAAAAAATAATCTTGTTATTTTAATTTCATGTTTAAAGTGCATCAGTTATGAAACTAGCACTAGTAAAACTTAATGAGAAACAGATATTCATCTTTTTTTGATTATCATACATGTGGTGTTTTAATCAATAAATTGTACACTAATCTAAATATGTAATAAATAACAGACTATCATCAGTTTTGCATTTTCATTATGTGTTGATTTATAGGTTCACAAAGTACATGAGGACAAACTAAATAGCCAGATGACTTAACTAGTATAACAGTTAAATCATGTTTGAGAGTAAAGCATGGTATTTAATCATCAAATCTTGGATAATAATTAATTTATTCCGGGTGACTAAAGTTCTCCTTTTTGTACACTTACGTGGTCCTGTCCCTCCACTCTGGCCCAAAAAACCAGAGGAGGATCCTTTTTTGTGTGCAAACAGTAAGCATTGAGTGTCTCGCAAACCAGGGACACTTACAAAATGTGTATACCTGAAGGATAGTGAAAAGACACTCACAGAAAGAGAAAAACACAATATGGGGAAATAACTGATTTTTCCACAGCACCTCAAATACCACAAAAACAAGGAAAAAGACAACTATCTGACTTTTCCAGGGGAAAATCCAGATTTTCTCCGAAAAATTAAATTGTTTAATAAATTTGTGTCATGTGTGGAACAAGACTTCACAGACTGGATAGAGCCAAAGCAGTACTTGAAGAATAAAATTGCAATAACAAGCAAAAATATATACACAAAAAAGGAAATATGACAAATGATATATAAATATCTGAAAAATATAACCAATGCTTTAAAGGCAGCATCTGTAAGAATAAATAAATACACAAAGAGAAAAAGAGAAGTTCTCCTGTCTGCTCTGGAATCCATTTTACTTACACATCTGGAACTTAACACGTTCAGTAGTAGTGGGTTTGTGATGTGCAAAAGCAATGCACTGAGGTAGCTTCACACCAGAGACTCTCATGAAGTACGTCAACCTACAGTGCACAGTGGGTAAATTATGAACGTTTGTCAAATCATGTTGGGATCATGGCAGCAAAATGATAGTTTTCACCTGACAGCAAGAGATTGCATGAAGTTTTTGCCAATTTGAGAGTAGTGATAACTGTTTGATAAACGTTTTCTTTGGCCCAAGGTATACAATCTTTAATGTCCAATATATTTCCACGTGGTAAATAAGCTCAGTGTGGTATGTGAAAAAAAAATGTGAACCATATTACAGCAGAAGATGTAGGACTATTTTGCTAGATAAATGTTATCATCTAAGCTTAAAATTACACAGATAAGACATACAGAGCACTCAATGAATATTGTATGTTCTATACTTGATGCAGGTTTACTATGATATATTAAAAAAGTGTAGGAAAATGGAAGGCCAACTTACCACATTTCTAGGTCCTTATCATGATTTGCCTGATCTGGGTTATACACAAACACTATCCCATTTGCATCTTTTGCAATAGCTGGCCAGCAACTTTCAAACCTAGGAAATATTGTTAACACAATTATAACAAAGTGCATCAATTACATGCTACCTATCCATGTTATATATTGAAATGGGAACTGTTTAACTTTTCTTTGTTTCTTTCAAATGTACCTTCAGTCCACGAACAGCATGTAGTTCATGTAAAATCAAATGAAGACTACCCAGATATATACTGTACACAGTATACAAAATATTTAACAAAGAGCACTTAGATGAACTAGTACCCTGCTCCAAAATGGAAATTAATGCAACACAAAAAAAAAAAAAAAAAAAAAAAAAAAAAAAAAAAAAAAAAAAAAAAAACCAATAGGGTCTTTTGTTGACATACATGTACAGTATACTGTATGTCTCCACCTTGCACACAATTTGACCAGAAGCACCTACTTTTTATCACCACTGACATCCCACAGCTCTACCTCTGCACTGACTTTCTTGCTCCCTACTGTCAAGTTATTGGCTTCATATTCAAGAATTCTGGAGAAAAAGCAGTTCCATGAAACAATGTCTATAATCAATACAAGAGATTCCTCTTTGGAAAATACTTATTTTTCAAGACTGTTGTACCTAGTACACTGTGGTTAGTTGATTTGAGCATGAATGTTCAAAGTTCTATGATATGTTACATACAATGTACTAGTACAGACCGATGTGTTTTGAGTTACGCACATCCACATACACTGGTATTAACGTTAGATAAACAATATAATGATAGAATAGTACCAGTATATACTGAGGCAACTACTTTTAACCTATCTACACATGACCTATGATCTTGTTCACATACTCCGTACCTTACACCTTGTGTCGGTCGGTACTCCCCTCCAATATTCTCTGTAGCATCTGCTAAGTAGTTAGCTATTGCACTCTTGCCACTCTGCACACGAAAATGAAACAAAAATGAAACACAAATTACACTTGTCCATATACATTTACGTTAGTAAGTTAGATATCTCCAAATCTTGTGAAACTTGCCACAGATTGCAATATTTCAGCTTACAGGATCATTCATAATCTGGTTCTTGGTAACAAGGATTTGTCTCAATTGAAAAAATATCCTCTACTTACCTCACAGGGACCTAAAACCAACACTTTAGATTTGAACATTTTCTTCTAGCCTGGAATGCAGTCGTCCGTCGTTTACCTTAGCTACGCCTACAGCGACCTCTACAGTGGTTTTTGATGGAGTAGAACGCACGCTATGGCGTGGCTGCACTGTATTGCCCAAGAGATACTTACACTACAGCAGATATTTTGACCTAATCTTATTAATAAAGACAGATCTAATGTTACATTTAGTACATTCAAATAAGCAATTTTGAAGTAAATAAATTTTGTCAAACAATGAGGTGAAAATAATAGAGTAGAACGCAAGAGTCTAAAAGTAGCTTTGCAAGTCATCCCATTCCTTTTTTTCTTTTTTTTTTCCTTTTTTGTTTTACGCAGAGCAATCATTTAGGAGGTGAGGTAGCAGAATTAGGAAAGTCTGGTACACATTCTTATAAAATCATGAACAAAAGAGCGTCGAACGGCACTGGCCTGCACATGCCGTTTTTCCTCCTGGGTTAGGCCTACTTCACTGTTACATTTGTGTAGGCCTACTATTTACAGAGTATATTTCGTCTGTTTCTGGTCTGTGCTTCTACCGGGGTATTATAATTCACAGAAAAGGAAAAAATATCAAACTTTAGGAGAACGCGTTTGAGGTCAAAAACAAGTTAAGGTGAATCTGGCAATCTAAATGCGGCACATCCCAAGTTTTATCACATATATTGTTGATACAAAATATTTATCAACTGGATAGGCCTATCTATTATCTATAATATGTATGAGACAGGGTGACCAGTCGATTCAGACACCGTTTTGTGAAACAGGGCGATCATGTTTTGCAGGGTTGGGCAGAGTGTAGGCTTAATTTTTCTTGGAATTTTCGTCTCGCAGTGTAGATGCCAGCACCTTGATTTTGGGAAGGGGCCACAGAAGTTAGCCTGGTTGCAGTTTCTTGTGGTGGTCAACGATACATGGGATCCCGATGGGTAGGCCTACGTTTGCACACTGCAGGATTTAAAAACCTGCTGAAAAGCATTCTACATGTACATGTAGATGTATTCACTTGACTTTCGATTTTTTTTATGAATTTTTATGTTTAGTAGCTAAACTAGCTAGAGTCCAATATACTGTACTAGTAGGCCTACATCACTGATAGGCCTACATGGATATTTCGTACTCCAAATTATATTAAATCCGGTTTTGATATTAGTAGGCCTGTCCAACATGTATTGGAATATTTCCTTTCTGTTCTTTATTACTGCGCATAAGCAATTAACATATTTTTGGCTTTTTTGCTGCACGTTTTTTATGCAATTATCATGATTTGGATAAACAATGTCCACTTTCAGCTGCATAGCCACTGTGAAAACACCCCAGATTATTCCGGGCAGCAAACACGCACCAAATATCATGGTTGGTTCGTGTGACCAAGGTGGCCTGGAGCTTTCCGTCTCCCAACTGAATGCAACTACTGTGGTTAGCTTTTATAACGCTTATCATATATTTTGATTGTTACAGCGAGGTATTATGGAATAGCAAATGTATATCTGGTGCGCGGAATCTAATAATGTTGCAACTTAGGAATTTTAAAGCTTAAAATTCGTTGGGTTCCTGATTAACATAGTTAAAATTATTTTAAAAATCAGCATGAAAAAAAAAAAAGCCCAAAGAATGTATGAATTCAGAACTTGCAATTTTTTCACTTATTTGATTGATTAATTTATGTATTTATTATTGTCATTTTGTAGAATGTCCACCTTCTCTTTCACTCATCCGTCATTGAGGACGCATCCCCGCCCACATGCGATATACCGTGGAAAGGTGGATACCTGACGCCGACCACCACTAGCGCCAAGGAGTCCCTGCTCCCAGGGTGTTTCACTGCAGAGTCACGTGAAGGGTACCACATGACTTACTACTGGTTCTACATCATCGACTGGATGTGGGGAGCGTGAAGGACGGGATGACGGCGCTGACTGTAAATCTTTATTGTGTTAGTGTTTCTTAGGTTTATCAGAATTGCATGGGTGCTGTTGATAGGCTCAGTTGTCAGTATACTGTATTTTGTGCAAGTGGCAAATAAATTGTAGGAAGTTTTTTTTACTATTTTCTGAATTGAACGGTATCAAGACTGGTATAATTCTGTTTGTATTTTAAAAAACACCAGCCTGTGCATTGAAACCAAAAGGACTTTTTGAGTCTCACAACTTTAAAAGTGTAATCCCATTTGTTTTGACAGACAGGCTGACAGGCAGAGAAATCGATACGAATTACATGGACAAGAAAAAACACAACCTCCATTATTGTCACTGGCAAAAAAAAGATGCAGTGAATCTAAGTTCTTTTTATTTTAAAAATATATATATATGAGAGATTCTTTAGCACTGAAGTAAATTAAAATTTAGTCTCTTGCAACAGGTTTGTTAGCTGTTTGTCAACTTGTGTTGCATGTAAATCACTGATGAGTAAACTGCGGATATCTGTGAACATTGTTCCTGGCTGCATCCAGGAATGTATCCACAGATGATCGCAGTAGGCATCCACAGGTGCCATTGGTAAAAACATTTGGCGTTTTAATTTTCGACAAATAGTTTCCATCATTTTATCGTCTTTTCTCTTAGCCGTGTCACTACATTTTTCCTCCAGTTCTTGTGAACGTCTGCGATCAAACCCAGGCATAAACATGTCTGGCTTGGCGAGGTACAATTCTGTATCAGAGATAGGCGAACTTGATACCTGCAAATAGTGGTGATACAGCGTATCTAATTTGAACGGCCCCGTGATTTTTACCGGGTCCTTCATGCCTTCCCTCATTTGAAAGCGTTGAAAGTAGTTCGTGACTTTTTCGAAGAATGGATGCTTTGGTCGACAGGCCATGAAAGCAGTGCCGACCAACCCGTCAATTTTTTCGTACAGCAGATAGCTATGCTCCAGCGGCTCCTCGCTGAGAATACACTGTTTGCTACCTAAAGCACTGTCTAGAGGGCGGAGACTTAAAACGTCCACGTCGACATAAACGCCCCCAATTTCAAACATTATGAAATATTTGATGATATCTGCACGAAATATTTCCTTTTGAATATTGCGAAAGTTTTCGTAGTATTTCGGGTATCTTAGTTTTATAAGATGCTCCCAATCTTCACGAGTCCAAAACCAGTACTGCCATTTTGGCCAGGTGTGTTTTTCTCGCCATGTTTTCATCCAGTTCACAGTTTGACTTGGTAAAGAATAGTTGTGCCAGATTTGATGAATAATTCTAGGAATACCTGACGCCAAATATGATGGCGGGGATTCAACATATTTTTCACCTGGTCTTTGACCGACAACGTCCACTTTAGCTGGTTGTGAGGTGGGAATTTGAAATCGTAAATTCAGCAAATGCTGCATAGAGTTTGAATATATTTTTGGCAAAGTATCTGTCCTTTTTGTCTCTGGATTTGCCGTTGGTGCAAGTAACTTCAGAAGGTGTGTGCCATCATCAAGTTTAAGGTGTTTTAATTTTACGGTTGTCCTAAAATATAGCGGCAGAGTACTTGTCTTAGATTTTTCTGATTGCCAATTACTCAACTGCAGGTTGTTTCTTCTCGATATGACATCGTCCAATACTTCGTATTTTCTCAGCATTTCTTCATCGGAATTGTGTTTCACTTGTTCTGTTTGAGGCGATGTAGAAAATATTACCCAAGCGACCATAATTATTAAGGCCAAAACAACCAGGTACGTAATTCCACGGAACCTACAAAAATAAATAAATAAATAAAATAAAAAAAGCAAAGAGAAAAAACCTTGCATTTTTTCAAAGCTTTTTAGTCTTGCTCACATAAGCACTTGAAATAATTTGATATCAAATGCAAGTTAAATAGAAATTTGAGCAATCTAAACCACATACATACGTGGAACCCTCTTTCGGAGAGTTTTGTTCCATTAAAATAAATATCTCCATTTTCCTGTCAGGCAGGAAGAGAGAAATCAAGAGGAAAAATAACTCAAAATGTGTAACAGAAAGTTTGCGGATACGTGGAATGATGGGTTCGTTCTCACTAACCTTATACAGGTAGAACTTAAGTAACCTAGTGATGGCAGATTTGAAAACTGAGCCAGTGCTTTCTTCCTCAGGATATGGCATTTTGAAGTCATTTTCGAATAATTTTGACCTGCAAGGAAAATTAATAAGAATTCTTAAAATTTAACTGTATCTCTACTTAAAGCGCGCAACAAGGATCTTTATAACGTACATTCGCATGCATGATGACGTTTGATAAGAAAAAAAGTTAGATTGGTTACCAGACACTGTATAGCTAATAATTTGCAGATCTAGAAATAATGTGCATCTGTTAAAGTGGTTTTCGTAGAGAAGAGTGACCGATACAGACATGTATTTACGATGTGTAGCCTATATTTTAATACTAAAATGTGTTGAATGACATGTGCTATCTGGAGGTGGGGGGGGGGGGGGGTAGTAATATCAGCTGTCATGCTAAGTTAACCATATTGTGGTTGTGTGGATTATATGTGATATAAGGGCGGATAACAAGAATGTAAAAATTAATGTCACCCACAGGGAAATCGGGAGACACTATGCGGCTGACTACTGAAAGACCACCGATTAGACCTGCCGGCAGAACTACGTTTTGCAGTTCTACTATGAAGGTCACCAAGCTTTCCTGCCACTAAACAATAAAACCAACGCCTGGTAGATATTCAGGACATTAGGAAGACCAAGATCCACGCCATCTTAACACACCTTTACTTACTGGCCCCATGAATCCAGACGCAGTATGGTACTGAAACTAACTGCTCTACAAACGATGTACGTTATTCCTTATATTCAAAACATTAATCCAACAACGCTGCCACATACTTTCAACATTATAGCACTCATAGCCTTCCTGTGTCATTTAAGATTCCAGTGACCTAGTTTTACCTGATAAAGTGACCCTTTTTTTATACCTACGTGCTTATTTATAGTGCCTATTGATTCAATGAGTGACGGTATATTCTTTAGAGGGGGTGCTTGAAGTAAACTATGTAATGACATTCATGCGCAGCAGAATTTTACTTTTCTATAAGAGACATAGTTGAGTCTATCTATCGACCTGGTGGTCAAATTGCAATGATGTTTTTTTTTTTTTAGCCTATCACTCTCGTGTGAACGGGTTCTTGCAGACTTAACGTCAAGCTCAATTTCCGTCATATCATGCATGACTGTTAAATTATTTGTACACTTTTTTTAGTTATGATCATTGATATAACTGTTATGTACTTTCCCCCTGGATGTTTCATCGAGCAATATTAAATATAACACATGCATTTATGAGTTAGTTTTCAGAAAGAGCGGTTCCTCCTGTCCCTTTATTATCACAGCATGTTTTTACATTGCTACTGTTATCAATGACAATTCAAAATAGAATTCCAAATTATATCTGTATAAAATAAGGTTAATTTTTAAATACAAAGATAGTAATTGTACATGTACTCATCTATAAAATTATATAATGCTAACTGTGTTATAAGAATTAATATCACAAAAATTAATTTCACTTTTATAAAATATATGTTATAATATTGCATTTTGAATAGCTCGCAGAATGAATATACACATACATAAAAGGCACACTAAGTCATATATTTTGTCAGTACGCTGTTATTAAAAAAGTGATTTCTAGCTAAAATAAAAAAAAAATATAATCAGTTCACTATCTAAGCAAAAAAGTTAAAATGATGTATTGAATAAAATCCTCCATGAAAAAAATGGTCTAATTTCTATAAATATCCAACTTCCTAATTATATCCTTTATCAAAGCAAAGCCTCTCAGTATTTTTGTTTCTTCAACTTCACTCTTATATGTTCTCAAATGAAACGTACTGGCTTCTTTTATTCCAACTAGATCTTCATGTCTAGACTCAATTCACTCTGGCATCACTTAAACTCTGTGCGTTGTTCCCATTTCTTTACTCTCAGATGTTGCCGTTCATTGTCTGGATGCCTCCTATTAACTTTTCAACATATCTTAACTCAGAACGTATCCTCTTGCTCATTTATATCAGTTTTAAAGTCACAAGAGGTCCCCATACTAGTCTTCCTTCACTTCCCAATTTTCAAGTTTCAGAAACACCAGTTTTCTCAACTTGTCATCCACCACTGCAACCACATATTTCCCTCCCTGTGAGAGCTTCACCTGCACAATGGAGGCATGTGCATAGAAATGGTTGAGGGGTGTGATCAGACCCCCTCCGCCAATGTTATAGTTGAGATTCCACAGCATAATGGTCTGGTCGGAGGAGCCTGAAGCAATCATCTGGTTGTCCTCAGAGATGTCCAGACATGTTATCTGAAATTGTTAACAATTACTGTTACTGTTAATGCTAATTCTCAGCACGAATTAATGCAATCAGTCTGTTCCTGCATGCAAATAAAGTCATCTAAGGACAAACTTCTTGGTTTAAGTCATGTTAGCTATGTTTGGGGTTGATATAAAATGAAATATGGAGTTTAAAGTTAATTTTACTTATATCAAATTTCTCTTCAAATCTAACAATCAGAATAATAAATTCAAATAAGCTGACCTTTGCCCTATGCCCCAGGAAAGTCTTGACCAGTGTCCCTGTGGTCAGGTTCCACAGTTTGACCGCCTTGTCATGAGAGCCTGACACAAGGTGACTTCCATCAGGGGACACTGAAATGAAATGAAATCACTGCAGTAAGGAAGTAAATGACTACCAGTCTACAAAAATAAGGTACCAATGAAAGGTGTGAGCTTGTCAGGTGGGGAAAAAACTTATATAAATTATATATAAATTACAAACCCCACTATTACATCATATATGAAATATAAACCTTAGGTTTCTAGTACTACTGCTACTTATACTACTACAGATGTATTACTATGCCAGAAAGAGTTGCTGTCACCTAAAACACGGGATGTTGCAAATATGCCATTTGATCTATCTTACTTTTGAATTCATTGTTCTGAAAAGTAAAATGAGTGTCGCTGCATTAAATATTTTACTTATACAAATGTGGACTTTGCCTACCAGTAATATAAGTTATGTCATCAATATGAGCTGGCATGGGTGGGGTCTTTGGAGGAAGTATCCCTGTCTTGCTAGGAGGAGTGGATCTCACCAAGTCTGGGTCATATAGCTTGCCACACTGCACCTAAAAATGTTACACATAAAAAATATTTATTAAAAGGAAAAAATCCTAGTCTGAATTTTTTAACTTGAAAAAATTGCAAAATGTTTTCATTGTGTATATGAGGTACATGTGCATATTTAAAATGTCAAAAAAAAAACATGAGAATAAAAATAATCATGTTAGCAATTAAATTTGCCAGTCTCTCAATACCTGTTTTCTAACATCCCATAATATCAACTCCTTGGTTGCCGTGGCAGTGAGTATTCTCCCATCATTCAGCAGTTTGTGTATGTGACCTGGACACTGGAATGGACTGGCTGTGATCTGGTCAAGTTTGCCTTCTTCTTTAATCAACATGAAGGCATACACCCAGGGTGCTCTGTGCTCATATACAGAGTTACACTGGATGACAACCAGGTTCTCTTGCTCCCCAGTGAAACCCATCACTTCAGGCTGTAAAGATATATTGATGTGATATTTGAGTACGCATGACCACTGCATAATATATCGTATTAAAAAATGAGATATAAAAATGAGTAAAGAGGCCAGAGTTGATTAAACAAAAGAAAAGATTGCATGAAGTGACAAAGAGACTCTGTTCAGCCCGGGAGCCACTGGCTGATTTGACGGTTATTTTGGAAAATATTAGATTTGGCCTCGTTTTCAAAACGTGGAGTGGTAGCCCCAAAAAAATTTGGCGGGAGACGAAGGCATAGAGACAGGTAAGTTGTACATGTGTTTGTGGAATGAACAGTAGATTTGAATACTAATGAATTTGACGGGACAATACAGTATATGCTAAANGGGGGGTTGAAAGAACCGCCCTTTTTGCTGGGAAAAGGTCCATTTTGAGTCAAATTTGATCTTGGTACATGAAGTTTTTATGGCAAAAGGTCTACTTTTTCAGAAAAAGGACCACCCCACCCCCCTTTGGAACTGCTGGCTATGTGCCTGATAATCAATATAACAGATTCCTCTCTTAAAATACTATTATTTTTCAACACTGGAGAAGTATTTAGTTGAGCATCAGTGTTCAAAGTTCTATGATATGTTACATACAATGTGCTACTACAGACCGAATGTGTTTTTGGAGATACGCACATCTACATACAGTACACTAGTATTAACTTTAGATTAACAATACAATGACAGAATAGTATAATAGTAAACTAAGGCAACTACATGTAATAGATCTACATATGACCTATGATCATGTACACATACTCCGTACCTTACACCTTGTGTCGGTCGGTACTCCCCTCCAATATTCTCTGTAGCATCTGCTAAGTAGTTAGCTATTGCACTCTTGCCACTCTGGACACGAAAATGAAACAAAAATAGAAAACCAATTATACTTGTTCACATATATTTACGTCAGATATCCCCAAATCTTGTGAAACTTGCCACAGATTGCAAAATTTCAGCTTACAGGATCATTCATAACCTGGTTCTTGGTTACAAAGATTTGTCTCAATTGAAAGAATATCCTCTACTTACCTCACAGGGACCTAAAACCAACACTTTAGATTTGAACATTTTCTTCTCAGCCTGGAATGCAGTCGTCCGTCGTTTACCTTAGCTACGCCTACAGCGACCTCTACAGTGGTTTTTGATGGAGTAGAACGCACGCCATGGCGTGTCTGCACTGTATTGCCCCTTAGTTAGGCCTACACTACAGCAAATATTTTGATCCAATTTTATTAATAAAGACAGATCTAATTTAACATTTAGTACATTCAAATAAGCAATTTTGAAGTAAATAAATTTTATCAAACAATGAAGTTGAAAATATTAGAATGCAAGAGTCTAAAAGTAGCTTCGCAAATTATCCCATTCCCCTTTTTTTTCTTTTTTCCTTTTCTATTTTAAGCAGAGCAATCATTTAGGAGGCGAGGTAGCAAGATTGGGAAAGTGTGGTGCATATTCCTATAACATAATGAAAATAAGAGCGTCGAATGGCACTGGCCGTTTTAGGCCCTACTTCACTGTTACATTTGTGTAGAGTGCAGAGTAGGCTATATTTCGTCTGTTTCTGGTCTGTGCTTCTATTATCATACAAAGAAAAGGGGAAAAAACATAAAATTTTAGGAGAACGTGTTTCGAGGTCAAAAACCAGTTAAGGTCGTGATTCTGGAAAATCCCAAGGCTGCATATCCCAAGTTTTATCAAATAGTATATTGTTGATAGGCCTACAAAATATTTACCAACTAGATAGGCCTATCTATTATCTATAGGGCCCAATATGTATGTGACAGGGTAACCAGTAGTTTCAGACACCGTTTTGTGAAACAGGTCGATCATGTTTTGCAGGGTTGGGCAGAGTGTAGGCTTCATTTTTCTTGGAATTTTGGTCTCGCAGTGTAGATGCCAGCACCTAGATTTTGGGAAGGGGCCACAGAAGTTAGCCTGGTTGCAGTTTCTTGTGGTGGTCAACGATACCTGGGATCCCAATGGGTAGGGGCCTACGTTAGCTCGCTGCAGGATTTAAAAAGCTGCTGAAAAGCATTCTACATGTCCCTACATGTAGGCTAGGCCTATTCACCAGACTTTCGATATTTTTATGAATTTTTATGTTCAGTAGCTCGAGTTAAATATAGGCTACTAGTATGGTGTACGTCACTGCTACATGGATATATCCTACCCCAAATTATATATTTAACCCAGTTTTAATATTAGTAGTCCTGTCCAACATGTATAGGAATATTTCCTTTCTGTTCTTAATTACTGTGCATAAGCAATTAACATATTTTGCTCTTTTGCTGCACGTTTTTAATGCAATTATCATGACTTGGATAAACAATGTCCTCTTTCAGCTGCATAGCCACTGTGAAAACACCCCAGATGATTCCGGGCAGCAAACACGCACCAAATATCATGGTTGGTTCGTGTGACCAAGGCGGCCTGGAGCTTTCCGTCTCCCAACTGAATGCAACTACTGTGGTTAGCTTTTATAACGCTTATCATATATTTTGATTGTTGCAGCGAGGTATTTGTATTGTTTGGAATAACAATGTATATCTGGTGCGCGGAATCTAATAATATTGCAACTTCGGAATTTCAAAGCTTTAAATTCTTTGCGTTCCTGGTGAACATATTTAAAATTGTTTTGAAAATCAGCGTGAAAAGTCCAAAAAATGTAGGAATTCAGAACTTGCAATCTATTTATTTATTTGAATGATTAATTTATGTATTTATTATTGTCATTTTGTAGAATGTCCACCTTCTCTTTCACTCATCCGTCATTGAGGACGCATCCCCGCCCACATGCGATATACCGTGGAAAGGTGGATACCTGACGCCGACCAAACCTAGCGCCAAGGAGTCCCTGCTCCCAGGGTGTTTCACTGCAGAGTCACGTGAAGGGTACCACATGACTTACTACTGGTTCTACATCATCGACTGGATGTGGGGAGCGTGAAGGACGGGATGACGGCGCTGACTGTAAATCTTTATTGTGTTAGTGTTTCTTAGGTTTATCAGAATTGCATGGGTGCTGTTGATAGGCTCAGTTGTCAGTATACTGTATTTTGTGCAAGTGGCAAATAAATTGTAGGAAGTTTTTTTTACTATTTTCTGAATTGAACGGTATCAAGTCTGGTATAATTCTGTTTGTATTTTAAAAAACACCAGCCTGTGCATTGAAACCAAAAGGACTTTTTGAGTCTCACAACTTTAAAAGTGTAATCCCATTTGTTTTGACAGACAGGCTGACAGGCAGAGAAATCGATACGAATTACATGGACAAGAAAAAACACAACCTCCATTATTGTCACTGGCAAAAAAAAAGATGCAGTGAATCTAAGTTCTTTTTATTTTAAAAAATATATATGAGAGATTCTTTAGCACTGAAGTAAATTAAAATTTAGTCTCTTGCAACAGGTTTGTTAGCTGTTTGTCAACTTGTGTTGCATGTAAATCACTGATGAGTACACTACGGATATCTGTGAACATTGTTCCTGGTTGCATCCAGGAATGTATCCACAGATGATCGCAGTAGGCATCAGCAGGTGCCATTGGTAAAAACATTTGGCGTTTTAATTTTCGACAAATAGTTTCCATCATTTTATCGTCTTTTCTCTTAGCCGTGTCACTACATTTTTCCTCCAATTCTTGTGAACGTCTGCGATCAAACCCAGGCATAAACATGTCTGGCTTGGCGAGGTACAATTCTGTATCAGAGATAGGCGAACTTGATACCTGCAAATAGTGGTGATATAGCGTATCTAATTTGAACGGCCCCGTGATTTTTACCGGGTCCTTCATGCCTTCCCTCATTTGAAAGCGTTGAAAGTAGTTCGTGACTTTTTCGAAGAATGGATGCTTTGGTCGACAGGCCATGAAAGCAGTGCCGACCAACCCGTCAATTTTTTCGTACAGCAGATAGCTATGCTCCAGCGGCTCCTCACTGAGAATACACTGTTTGCTACCTAAAGCACTGTCTAGAGGGCGGAGACTTAAAACGTCCACGTCGGCATAAACGCCCCCAATTTCAAACATTATGAAATATTTGATGATATCTGCACGAAATATTTCCTTTTGAATATTGTGAAAGTTTTCGTAGTATTTCGGGTATCTTAGTTTTATAAGATGCTCCCAATCTTCACGAGTCCAAAACCAGTACTGCCATTTTGGCCAGGTGTGTTTTTCTCGCCATGTTTTCATCCAGTTTACAGTTTGACTTGGTAAAGAATAGTTGTTCCAGATTTGATGAATAATTCTAGGAATGCCTGACGCCAAATATGATGGCGGGGATTCAACATATTTTTCACCTGGTCTTTGACCGACAACGTCCACTTTAGCTGGTTGTGAGGTGGGAATTTGAAATCGTAAATTCAGCAAATGCTGCATAGAGTTTGAATATATTTTTGGCAAAGTATCTGTCCTTTTTGTCTCTGGATTTGCCGTTGGTGCAAGTAACTTCAGAAGGTGTGTGCCATCATCAAGTTTAAGGTGTTTTAATTTTACGGTTGTCCTAAAATATAGCGGCAGAGTAGTTGTCTTAGATTTTTCTGATTGCCAATTACTCAACTGCAGGTTGTTTCTTCTCGATATGACATCGTCCAATACTTCGTATTTTCTCAGCATTTCTTCATCGGAATTGTGTTTCACTTTTTCTGTTTGAGGCGATGTAGAAAATATTACCCAAGCGACCATAATTATTAAGGCCAAAACAACCAGGTACGTAATTCCACGGAACCTACAAAAATAAATAAATTAATTAAATTAAAAAAGCAAAGAGAAAAAAACTTGCATTTTTTTCAAAGCTTTTTAGTCTTGCTCACATATGCACTTGAAATATTTTGATATCAAATGCAAGTTAAATAGAAATTTGAGCAATCTAAACCACATACATACGTGGAACCCTCTTTCGGAGAGTTTTGTTCCATTAAAATAAATATCTCCATTTTCATGTCTGGCAGGAAGAGAGAAATCACGAGGAAAAATAACTCAAAATGTGTAACAGAAAGTTTGCGGATACGTGGAATGATGGGTTCGTTCTCACTAACCTTATACAGGTAGAACGTAAGTAACCTAGTGATGGCAGATTTGAAAACTGAGCCAGTGCTTTCTTCCTCAGGATATGGCATTTTGAAGTCATTTTCGGATAATTTTGACCTGCAAGGAAAATTAATAAGAATTCTTAAAATTTAACTGTATCTACTTAAAGCGCGCAACAAGGATCTTTATAACATTCGCATGCATGATGACGTTTGATAAGAAAAAAAGTTAGATTGGTTACCAGACACTGTATAGCTAATAATTTGCAGATCTAGAAATAATGTGCATCTGTTAAAGTGGTTTTCGTAGAGAAGAGTGACCGATACAGACATGTATTTACGATGTGTAGCCTATATTTTAATACTAAAATGTGTTGAATGACATGTACTATCTGGAGGTTGGGGGGGGGGGGGTAGTAATGTCAGCTGTCATGCTAAGTTAACCATATTGTGGTTGTGTGGATTATATGTGATATAAGGGCGGATAACAAGAATGTAAAAATTAATGTCACCCACAGGGAAATCGGGAGACACTATGCGGCTGACTACTGAAAGACCACCGATTAGACCTGCCGGCAGAACTACGTTTTGCAGTTCTACTATGAAGGTCACCAAGCTTTCCTGCCACTAAACAATAAAACCAACGCCTGGTAGATATTCAGGACATTAGGAAGACCAAGATCCACGCCATCTTAACACACCTTTACTTACTGGCCCCATGAATCCAGACGCAGTATGGTACTGAAACTAACTGCTCTACAAACGATGTACGTTATTCCTTATATTCAAAACAATCCAACAACGCTGCCACATACTTTCAACATTATAGCACTCATAGCCTTCCTGTGTCATTTAAGATTCCAGTGACCTAGTTTTACCTGATAAAGTGACCCTTTTTTTTTATACCTATGTGCTTATTTATACAGTGCCTATTGATTCAGTGAGTGACGGTATATTCTTCAGAGGGGGTGCTTGAAGTAAACTGTTTTTTGACATTCATGCGCAGCAGAGAATTTTACTTTTTTATAAGAGACATAGTTAAGTCTATCTATCGATCTGATGGTCAAATTGCAATGATGTGTGTGTGTGTGTGTGTGTTTAGCCTTGCATGGCTGTTAAATTATTTATGTACTTTTTAGTTATGATCATTGATATAACTGTTATGTACTTTCCCCCCGGATGTTTCATCGAGCAATATAAAATATAACACTGCATTTATGAGTTAATTAGTTTTCAGAAAGAGCGGTTCTTCCTGTCCCTTTATTATCACAGCATGTTTTTACATTGCTACTGTTATCAATGACAATTCAAAATAGAATTCCAAATTATATCTGTATAAATAAGGTTAATTTTAAAATACAAAGATAGTAATTGTACATGTACTCATCTATAAAATTATATAATGCTAACTGTGTTATAAGAATTAATATCACAAAAATTAATTTCACTTTTATAAAATATATATGTTATAATATTGCATTTTGAATAGCTCGCAGAATGAATATACACATACATAAAAGGCACACTAAATCATATATTTTGTCAGCATGCTGTTATTAAAAAAGTGATTTCTAGCTAAAATTTAAAAAACATATAATCAGTTCACTATCTAAGCAAAAAAGTTAAAATGATGTATTGAATAAAATCCTCCATGAAAAAAATTGTCTAATTTCTATAAATATCCACCTTCATATTTATATCCTTTATCAAAGCAAAACCTCTCAGTATTTTTGTTTCTTCAACTTCACTCTTATATGTTCTCAAATGAAACGTACTGGCTTCTTTTTATTCCAACTAGATCTTCATGTCTAGACTCAATTCACTCTGGCATCACTTAAACTCTGTCAGGTACTCTCAGATGTTGCCGTTCATTTTCTGGATGCCTCCTATTAACTTTCAAACATATCCTAACTCAGAAACATAAGATGTATCCACATGCTCATTCATATCAGTTTTCAAGTCACTACAGGTCCCCACACTAGTCTTCCTTCACTTCCCAATTTTCAAGTTTCAGAAACACCAGTTTTCTCAACTTGTCATCCACCACTGCAACCACGTATTTCCCTCCCTGTGAGAGCTTCACCTGCACAATGGAGGCATGTGCATAGAAATGGTTGAGGGGTGTGATCAGGCCCCCTCCGCCAATGTTATAGTTGAGATTCCACAGCATAATGGTCTGGTCGGAGGAGCCTGAAGCAATCATCTGGTTGTCCTCAGAGATGTCCAGGCATGTTATCTGAAATTGTTAACAATTACTGTTACTATTAATGCTAATACTCAGCATGAAGTAATGCAATCAGTCTGTTCCTGCATGCATAACCATCTAAGGACAAACTTCTTGATTCAAGTCATATCAGCTATGTTAAGTAGGGGTTGATATAAAATGAAGTATGAACTTTAAAATTAACTTTACTCATATTAAATTTCTCTTCAAATTTATCAATCAGATTAATATATTCAAATAAGCTGACCTTTGCCCTATGCCCAAGGAAAGTCTTGACCAGTGTCCCTGTGGTCAGGTTCCACAGTTTGACCGCCTTGTCATGAGAGCCTGACACAAGGTGACTTCCATCAAGGGACACTGAAATGAAATGAAATCCCTACAGTAAGGAAGTAAATGACTATGTCTACAATAATAATAAGGTACAAATGAAAGGTGTGAGCTTGTCAGGTGGTAAAAAAAAAAAAAAAAAAAAAAAAAATTAACATAAATTACATACCCCACTATTACATCATTAATAAAATATAAACCTTAGATTTCTAGTACTACTGCTACTTATACTACTACAGATGTATTACTATGCCAGGAAGAGTTTTGCTGTCACCTAAAACACGGGATGTTGCAAATATGCAATTTGATCTATCTTACTTTTGAATTCATTGTTCTGAAAAGTAAAATGAGTGTCACTGCATTAAATATTTTACTTATACAAATGTGGAATTTTCCTACCAGTAATATAAGTTATGTCATCAATATGAGCTGGCATGGGTGGGGTCTTCGGAGGAAGTATCCCTGTCTTGCTAGGAGGAGTGGATCTCACCAAGTCTGGGTCATATAGCTTGCCACACTGCACCTAAAAATGTTACATATAAAATATGTTAATAAAAAGGAAAAAATCCTAGTCTGAATTTTTTAACTTAAAAAAATTGCAACATGTATTCACTGTGTATATGAGGTACATGTGCATATTCAAAATGTAAAAAAAAAAACATGAGAATAAAAATAATCTTGTTAGCAATTAAATTTGCCAGTCTCTCAATACCTGTTTTCTAACATCCCATAATATCAACTCCTTGGTTGCCGTGGCAGTGAGTATTCTCCCATCATTCAGCAGTTTGTGTATGTGACCTGGACACTGGAATGGACTGGCTGTGATCTGGTCAAGTTTGCCTTCTTCTTTAATCAACATGAAGGCATACACCCAGGGTGCTCTGTGCTCATATACAGAGTTACACTGGATGACAACCAGGTTCTCTTGCTCCCCAGTGAAACCCATCACTTCAGGCTGTAAAGATATATTGATGTGACATTTGATTACGCATGTCCACTGTATACTATATCCTATTGAAAAAATGAGATATAAAAATGAGTAAAGAGGCCAGAGTTGATTAAACAAAAGAAAAGATTGCATGAAGTGACAAAGAGACTCTGTTCCAGCATATTACTATACTCTTTTTCCAAAATTGTGACAGAAAGCATATAATTTGTAGAGTGGAAGTGTTACCAGTACTCTGAAATTGAGGGGGCAAAGAAAAGAACACAGATGAAAAGGCAAAACAAATTTTAAACTAAAATATTCAATCATGGAATGTTACAAGAGAAAATTGCGATGTTTATACCTTGGTTCCTGCTGCAATTTCTTCAGCTGTGAATTTGACATGTGTTTGGGCAATGCACTGCTCTACCTCCCATATACTCAAAGTCATACCTGGTAAAAATGAGATATATAATAATATAAAAATAACATATATAAGATTAAATATTAATTGTACTTTGGAAAAATATAAGAGCATTTCTTACATTTAAAAATAAATACAATAAAAGACATGTCTCTAGCATCCTGCTTTCATAACATTGTTTTGTAAATCAATTGCGTTATAGTAATTATTTAAAAATGAATGTAGAACAGTTATGTTTTAAACAACTTATGAAATGCAGATAGGAAGATTACTAATAAACTGAATTTCCTTGCCATTTGATATTCATTACATTAAATCTTTTAAAAAAACACACTTATTACATTACTCATTGATATTCATAACATAAAAGCTTAAAAGTTAACACACAAACCTGTGAAAATCTCCCTGTCCACCATGTCAGGGTTGTCGTCTGTGGTGAGGACCACTGCAGCCAGGCGCATGCCAGTAGAGGAGAGGGCGCCAGTGTGCAGTTGCACTGTAGCCTCCTTGGATGTGACCAGCTCTGGGGGAGACGTGGACATGTTCCAAGCCTGGACCAAATGATTTGAACAAGATAATTGTGATTGTATAGGGAAAGCAGGGTTTTAAACACCACATTTAGTTAAATCATAAAAATGACTATTTTTCCATTTAAACTTATAAGGATATTTTTTTCTTTTCAAAACTAAATGTTTTGTCAAATGTGCAATTCATGCCATAGTCCTATTCTCCTGAGCATACTTAAAAATAGATACACCTACATTAATACCAACCACTCATCTACAGTATCCTAACCTTCCTGAAAGTACCACAACAATGTGAAAGGTCACTTACCCTGACCTCCTGTATGCCCTCCACCTCACTGACCACCTCTCCCTGGCTCATCAATACCAGGGAGGCCATGTCCATAAAGACCTTGGAGGGACTGTTCTTAAACCCATGCTCCACTGAGGATACATAGGTCCCTGGGAGAAAGATAATGGATCAATAACTAAAAGAGATCATACCATACAATGCAGAAAATGATTATGGTTGTTCCTTGTTTTCGACGTTTTGATGGTACCATCATTCTTAAATTGAAAATCTATAATTCTAAACATTAACAAAAATTATAATGATGAAGTTACAGTATATTTCGTAAATCATTATACTTCTCTCTGCCTCACCTGCATTACAATCCCACACCTTGACTGGCTGTTGTTTCTTAGTGGACACAGTCACTACAAATCCAGCTTGGGCTGTATACAATTTCCCTCACAGCCTCATCCTCCGTGGGGTAAAATGAATCTTCCCCTGATCCAGTCCCACCACCACTCTCTGTGGGATTTGGCTTTGATGCCACATGCATCTCTAGAGGAGACTGCTCTGCGAAGGTATCAGCAGAGTGTCCATATCTGTTAATAGTCTGTGTCATAAGGTCCTTCACATGCCACCGTTTGATGGTACCATCATTGCAGGATGAGAAAAGGAATTCCTCCTTGAATAGGGAGACATTGGTGACAGATTGGACACCATGCATCAGTAATTTGACCACCTCTCCTGTGGGAATGTAGTACATTGCCACCTCTCCATGCTCAAAACCAACAAACAAGAACAACTCATTGTGGTCTATAGCCACTTTGGATGGAATATACTCAATGAGGGAGGAATCAATAGAGTCCTTGTCAGAGTCCGTCTCATCTGAGGCTATCTCAGGGTAGTCTATGGACTTAACACACTGTGCTGGCTCAACACTCCAGATGTCCACCCCCAGGTTCCATGTGGCAATGATGACATAGAACCCTTCAGCACCAATCAGGATGTCCCTCATGTCACGGTATGTCCTGCTTTCTATGGTGTCCAGGATCTGCCCATTGCTGTTGAAACAAAATACAGGTTTATTTTTTTTAAAAATCTCCATGCAAATCTACAAATCTCTGTAACAATGTACATTNAGTTTCTGGCTGCCAGAATCGCGTTTGAAAAACGACACTACTGACGCATTATTTTATAAATGGTGCAAGGACGTGCTGTTTTGCGGCCCTAGACAACAGTACCGCTCTATCTATGGGCCATACACAGTGATCGGGTGAAAGTACGTGTATATCTTTGGTCGCAATTACCGACACTCACACATCATACATTATGGTAACTCTAAATAGATCGCCGGGAGAAGATAACAGAAGGCCTAGCGACGAACAGACAACTTCCGGTCAAAATTGACAGAATTCCATGAAATTCGAATTTTCGGAAGTTCTGAGCACCTCCATTTCATGAATTTCGGCCAGAACGATCTTTTCCCAAATTTAATTATTTTCTACTGTTCGAAATTCATGGCACATTACCGTACACGTTCATGTACATACACAAAATAGCCCTTACAGCAGCTTTCTCATTTATATGTTTTGTTATGCAAAACTGATAACCTGTTTTATTGAGGTTGAATTTCTCTTTCCTTGTAAAAAGAAAAATATGTAAAAGAGAAAGAAAAATAAAAAACTAAGTGCTTACTTGTAGCTAGCTACAATGACAGTCCCTGTACTGGAGACGCCACACACCACCCGTCCAGAGGATGAGCAGATCTTCATCAGACCACACTTCACCTCCCCATCCAACAAAAAGGCATGTTCTAGGGTCAAGGTGGGCATGTCCCACACATACAGGTCCTGTCCTGTGGCCACTATCTTCCCTGAGACCTCATCCAGGGCTATGTTCGTAATGGTGGCACTGGATTCAGCCCCTTGCAAGGAAAAACTCTCCTCGCCAGTGTGGAGGGCAATGCCTATAGTACAGAAACAATAATCCAGCTTTTGTTATTAAATGATTGCAGTACATAGTGCAACTATTGGTAACCTTCCTTTTTGTTATGATATTTAATGTGCATCTCAAAGAAATAATCTGTATATATTTATTTCATTTTCATTTTTACAATTAGCACAGATGATTAGTGCTCATGCCTTAACAAAATATCAAACCTGCCACTAACTTCTCGCAATTTGCTTCAAATTTGCTACAAATTTGCAAAAGGAATTTTATATGGGATAATATAAAGATGAAAATTAGACAAGAAAAAATCATAAAAAAACTGATTCCCATTCACATAGACACATGGCTCACCTAATATGGTTCCATCATGTGTTCCCAACACAATGGTCTCCGCATCTCGGCTGATGGCAAAGGAGCTGACCTGGAAATCAAAGGTCATCTCTTTGACCTTGTTCCCAAATGAAGTGCTCCACACAGTGAACTTGGTCTTTTCCCTTGGGTGTGTCTTGATCAAGACCAGCTGCCCGTCCTCACTTAGAGCCACATTGGCCAGGGGGTTGTCTGCAAACACGCCATGAAGAGGGGCTGGGAACACGCTTAGTGCCTCCCCTGTGTCCAAACTCCTCAGCTCTACCCCTTCTGAGTAGTTATAAGTGACAGCGAGGTTATCTTGCACACCAGTGACACCTATGAACACCGATGGTCCAACCATCAGTCCCTGTAGACCGCTGTTATTTTTATATGGAAAACATGGACAGACAGGAATGATCAGTGGTGTATTGGCTGCCTCCACCCATTGTGCTGCACCTTTCATTAACAGACCAATATAAGGATGCTCTTGTGCTTCTGCAGTGGCCCTGCCCAAAATTTCCGCTGCCAGGTTCTCTGGGTTAAGCTTGAGTGCCTGCATAGCTGCCTTCAAAGAGGAGTAGATCATCTCCACATCCTCCCTGGCAGACATCTTTGGCTGGGTTTCATCAACAGACATGGTTTCCAGATACTTCATGATCCCCAAAACAGATTCAAAATCTGAGAGTACTTCCTTGACTGAAGTACCTAAAAGAAAAAGTCAAATAAATTTATAAAAGTATTGGGTTTTATTAAGTAAAGCAATGAATAAATTAACTGGTTCAAAAATGTTTTGCTCACATGCAAGATGAAGGGCTGTGTCTTCAACCATGCATACAAAACTCCACATAACCCTAATACTTTTATCTGAATTCCCATTATTTTACTATTTTACATTGGTACTTGCAACCAACTGAAATCAGAATCAAATTCTGATTACCTTTGAATTTTGTTAGCAACCACTGAAAATTACAGAGAATCTCTTCTTTAATCCTTCCAGACTCATTGGCTGGGATCAGTACTCTCATGTGGAATGGCAGTTTTCGTAGCTTTCGTAAGTTCTTTGCATTGAGGGGGCGTGGCACTGTTAGCCTTCTAGCATCGGGGATGGTCTTGTCTTGGATGGTGATGGTTTTCTTTACAGTGGCCTCAGCTTTGTACAGTTGCACAAAGTCCTCATGAATACTGAAATCATATGCAAAACTTTAGTGTATGTAAGCATATATCTTTAACAGTGCTTATTATGTATTACTGTACATTTTATGGACAGTGAACTGCTTTGTTATAAATTTTCTTTTTACTCTGTAAGTTATCTAACTGGATTTTTTCATGATGGCATGGAAAGCACAATACAAACATGATACAAAATGTACTTACTTCAATGTGAAATCCACTGAAGTCTCATCAATTTCGTCCTGTAGAATCCCCGGGTATATAAGACCATACACCTTAGACAAATTTTCCACAAGTAATTGGTGAGACCTAAAATAGAAAATGTCAAAAACATATGTACAATTAAAAACTGCCCCTTGGATTGGAGATTATTACAATTTTTAGTAATTAAATATCTAATCGATGAAAATATCACAACTTGAAGGTACATATGAACTAAGCACTGATGGAGTGTGGATTCCCAGAAACACACATAAACCACTTTTACTAGTTTCTTATACGACTCAAAAAAAGTTGACATGCCAAGGGATATACCCATTCATTCACTTAATCAGCAGTAAAACAGCTATAAACTGACACTTCTTTAAATTTTGGTCGTTAATTTGACCTACTTATCTTACCTGCCCCATTTAAATACAGCACAGCAAGCAAGCAGAAATATATACATGCATTCAAATATACTTTTTCAGGTAATATGAAATGATGTCTTTCTGTATTTTTTTAAGTTATACTATTTGAAACTATGTGGTGACATTTGGTCGACTTTTATAGTTCAAAAATGAGTTCATATGCATCTTTAAAAATTATTGTAACTGACTCATTAAAGTATTTTGAATATGTAAGTTGCCTTATATACACTTGATACTGACCATCCAATGATATCATGTCCATCAGCCTCTCTATAAATCAGGTATGCTTCTATGTCATGTAACAGTCTCACCATAAGAACAGAGGGAAAATGCACCACACCTTCCAATGGAGGGGCTGCATACAGTTCATACACCTCCTGCATGACCTGAAAATTTATATATAAGCATAAATAAATAAATAGTTCTTTACACATTAAGTACTTTGGCACATCAAGCATAGCTTTATATATGAAACATCTGACTCGAGCCATTGTCACTCTCTTTCTCTCACTTTGAGGTTTAATTGATCTACAGTGTATATCTAATTCTGATATGAATAACATTATATAAACATTTAATTCTCAGCAATTTAAAAAGTGAGTTTCATTAGATACAGTGCCACTTACCTCATCATTACATGATAGCAGATCATGCAGCTCTTGCTCCGTCACTCCAAGTCCTGACAGAGTAATGTATGACACTACATTCTTTATAAGTTGGCTGAAATTCAATAAAGCCAAATACCAGCTATCAGTTTTCTAATTTCTAATAAATAATTTAAATAATTCTTATTTAAAACACCTTGAAGAAAAACTAATTGATTACAAGTAGCACTGTTCAATGTTTGGATAATTTGGTCAATAAACTATGAATAATTTTTCATTGATCTTACTTTCTACTTCATCCACATTGATTGTTACAGTTTTTAATTATTCTGTGTAGCTTTTGAATAAAAATTAAAATGGTTTAAACCTTAAAACAAAATTTAACTTATCATATACTACTCATACCTGCCATGTTTGAGTTCTAGGAGCTCCACACCTCCCAGAACAGCACCATCAATATCAGGGGTGACCAGGAGAAATTCTGGACTAGTGTAGGACTTCCACAGCTTGGCCTTATCCAGCAGAAGTTTGAGCAAGAACAGATTGCGATTTTCCCTGAAAGCTTGCATTATTGCTTCTTTCTGCTCACTACTAACAGATCTACCTGCCTTTACCAGGTTTGCATCTAATATTGCCTCTGCCTCTGTATCTGGAACCTCTGGTAAGCCAAGGTAGCAGGACTCATTGGGGATGAAGCGCTTAAAAAGATCTATGATATTCATGCTCCCGCGCTCAGATATTGTGGAGATAATGACATGAGTGAAAGGTGGCAGATCTAGAATCACCCATAATGCCCTCAAAGCTTCTTCAATGGGGGTCAATCTGTCTATTCCATCCAGAATCAGCACCAAATGCCTATCCTGTCCAATCAAGTTCTTGGATGCAACCTGCTTCAGAGTGCTATGGAAGGTTTTCAGCAATTTGAAAAGGGAGCTTTGTGATCCTTGAATTTCAATCATATTCTTTAAATTGAAAACTGTACAGATTTGTGCTATGAGACTCGTGACAAGTTCCTGGACAGTAGAACTGCCTTGCATGAGGCCAAGGTACCTTGTTATGGTGACACATTTTGGTCCAAGCCACTGGCCACAGTTCTTATGGATCATGGAAACCACTGACGATTTACCCTCTCCTGACAGAGAATGAATTATCAGTGGCAACTTGCTTGTTGAGTCCATTAACTGTTGGTGTACCTTTTCCAAAAATTCCTCCCTGCCAGAAAAATCAGAACACTTTTGTTTCCATACATGTGCATGATGCAGAACCTCTTCCAGGACAGGGGTGTAATATTTCTGAGCTTTCTTCAACACAGTTAAATTTTTGTCAATCAGTTTTGTCACTTCCTCAACAAAGTCTGAGCAAAGCTGGTTTAGGTATTTGCTGTGTTCTGGGTTGTGTTGATCTACTCCCATCTCTGTCCACTGCAGTGTGTATAACTTCTGGTTGTCAGTTTGGTAAGATGGTGTCAGTCTTTCTGACTTCACTTTCACCATTGCTGAATATTTCTCCTGGTTTAGGTAGATCCCATCAAATTTCTCTTCAACATCAAAGTACCTAAAATGAATTGATAAATAAGCTTGAAACAGTTTGTTTATGCAAATGTTTAAGATAGTGATTAAAAATAATTAATCAAATCTTTACGTCTGACATCAACTGCCTTGATCAGTATGTCATCAAGGTTCTTTTTCTGTTGTAAGTTGACTACAAATGTATGTGCTTTGTTGGACAGCTGTATTTTTATGTAAAACCACAGTTTTAAACTTCACTGAACATGAATAAATTTTGATACATTGAGATTGGGATTTGTTAAAACAATATCAGGTAAAATGCTGTTACCTTGCAGCTGATGACTGCTGCAGTTTCTTGGGCACCCCTTTGAAGTCTCTCCTGAAGCACAATGTAGAGTTTTCTGGACTGGGAGCCTTCACTATACCATTCACCAGCTCCTTCTCTACCACTGAAAAGGGTATCATTAGTGATAAAGCAAGACAACTTGAGCTCTGTTGATAATTTTTGTAATGTACCAGTATAAAATAGTGTAAAATACCAGGTAATACAGATAACTCTTGTAATAATGAATTGAGCCAGGCTTTATTTTGAAAACTGAGCTATATCTGAGCCTTACTGGTAGTAGTAATCTGAAGTGTCTTAATTAGTGTAAGCTACTGCACCTAGAGTGCACCAGACATTACTGAAATACAATTTAGTAATAACACAAGTGAGTAGCTGTTGCTCCTTACCTGACTGGAAGTACCACTGTTCTCTTGCTCTAGTCATCTTCTCTGTCTTAACAGCCAGTCTACATGTGTCCTTAAAGAAAGCCTGCAGCTCCTCAAAGTCCTCATCTGATAAACAGCTCTCCTGATCCAGCTCTTGGTGGCCATTGAAACCAAACTGTTCAAGATAAATTGTAATTGAACAGTGCAATTTTCTTCAATATGTGTAAATACATGTGAAAAAATGTACAAAAGTGATTAACAGTGCAATTTTGTTCTGTGTACAAAAACTGTAAAAACATAGCAAGGTGAAAACCATTATTTTCACATATAAATTTGGAGGATACTAATAACATAAAAATAATGGTCTTCACCTTGATAAATTGTAAACAGTGCTGTAATGTTAAAGCAACACACAGTCAAATGTTCCTACAGACTAAAGCTAATCTTTAAATTTAATTGTTATCTACAATTACAAAGTACACAGATACAAACCTTTAAATTGTACTGAGGTGGGACTGCATTGATGTCTTTGATGAAACATTTCTCCAATAAGTCAGCATTAGGCAGCTGGTTTTCCTTAGCTGCCTGCCTGAGAGCCTCAAAGTCCATCTCTGGGATAGTGTGTGGGAAAGGCACCTCACCATACTTATCGCCAAGCAGAATCTAATTTTTTTCAAAAAAAAAAGTAATGATGAAAATAAAACATACAACTTATAAATTACCAACAACTTGATACCTTCAACCTATAAGCAAAAAAAAAAAGGAAATAAATAAGAATAACATGGAAAGACAACATAATTTAGTTTTGGCAAGGGAATAAAGGAGCAGGAATGTACTGGGAATCAGTGTGTCCAGTTAAAATCACTCATTAACTAGTCACTTAACCTGTATATATGCAAGTATGCAGAACATGACAATACAGTAAATTCAAGGGTCTACATACCACAAAGTTTGGCCCCACAGACACCTTCTGGCACTTCTCCAGCTCACTTAGATGCATAGCCTGGGCATGGTAGTCATCAAAAATCTCCTTAGGCCCTTCCCACCTGGTGTCCACCAAGTGAAAGCTGAAGCCACGCTGAATACAATAATCTTGTAGTTGAGGAACTGCCTCTTTGAGGATGATTTCTCTCTCTTGCCACATGTCTGAAATATTGATAAATGTTAACATATTAGTGGACAGTATTGCTATGTCTTTTATAGATGGTAAGGTAAATGGAATTTAACTTTACTAAATTTAATCTTCAAATTAAGCTGTCGCAACTAACTCAAGTAATGTAAATACCAACATGATAAGCAATCCTGAAACCATTATTTAATAATAATGATAATAATAAGATTCTTATATGGCGCCTTACATTCTATCTCAAGGCGCCTTACAATAATGGCTAATATACTAAAATCATTAAAATGACTACAATATTTTAATCATAAACTCTCATTGGAAACCATTTAAAATTTACACTACTAAAAATCAATCTTATTAAAAAACATATATATATTAAAATAAAATCTAAGAGATATAGACAGAATTAAAAATGTGGGTCTTTAAAAGAGATTTAAAATTGTCAAAGTCTTCTGTTTTTCTAATAAAATTATACCACTAACATTCCCTTTATACCACTAACATTCCCTTTACCAAAAGAAAATTATAGTATGTGACAATTTATCAGAAAAGTGGCTTTTAAACCCATTCAGACATGTACCTGGAGAGGAACTGAGGTATATTCTGATTTGCTTTGATGGCAGTGGTGGGATATTATCCCAATGTCCAGCAAGGACATCTTTCACTTGATCCTCTGTCAAGTTTCTTGCTGCAGCAGAACCAATGCCAGGCAGAGCTAAAAGAGGACAAGGCCATTCCATAATATTTACGAACAATTCTTCATCTAGTTAAAACAAAAGAGGGGATTGCAAATTTGACTATCGGATACATTAACAAGGATTTAGGTCAACAAAAATATATTCTGCAAAATAATGTCTTAAGAAACCAAAAAGTGCCTTCACTATTTGTGCCAGTTCTAGCATCTTTAAAGCTAAACCCTAATAACTGATTTAGGCCCTATGATATATTTTACATACTTACCTTTGGTAAAATAAAATTGTTTTGTATATTGACAGAGTAAGATATACGTAAAAAATTGATAATATATAAACTCACCTTGACTACTAGATTTGCTTTCATCCTGGAGAATCACATTCTTTTGGAGTGGTTTCAGCTTTCCTCCAGGCAGAAGGGTAGCCTTTCTCCTCTTACCTGGGGCAGCTTTCTATAATTTGCAGAAAAACCAATTGTGCAGGGTTATAAAATTTTTTCACACTTACTTTTATTATTTGAAATGATCCATCCATTTCGTTTTTATTTTGTTTTGTTTAAAAAACATGTGTTGTTTATGCTTTTTTTCTTCTTTCCCTCTTATTCTTACTTTAATTCAGAATTATAATACATATAATACTTACATTAGAAAGCTGTCTTATTGGACCACTGAAGGAAACTGGTCCTAATATCATAAAAGAATAAAAATTTTGCCTTTAAACAAGAGCCATAATGTTTCATATAATAATATCAATATGATATAAATATAATGTAAATATAACACTGATTTATCATTTACGATTTCAGAAAAATCATGACTAGTTGTAGACCAAAATTTAACAAAGAATGTAAATAGTAAAAACATAAAACACTGCTTCTTCTAAATTCAACCTTGTTTCAGTTTGTACATAAGATAAATTATACTGAGAATAACACACTTTAATTTGTATCTTTTGAAAACACAGTAAAAAATCTTACCTAACATTCTCCCTTACTTCTTAAATGACAAAATATGTTTTGCCATAATTCTTTACAGCACATTTAATAGAATAAATCCTGTAACAAAATAAATTTCATTATCTTGCTGCTATGGTGACTCTGACATCTAATTAATAAAAGCTGTTTGACAATCTTGGGTTTTGTTTGATAATCCAATTAGATCCAGATCTCCAAGTGTATAATGTTTATTTAATGAGCCTAAAAGTTAATTAAAAGAATTAAAGATAATGACTAATGCACCACAAGTCAACAAGCAAACAGTTTAAGTTTAGCTTTGTTGTCCAGATGCTATGATATTCAATAAACAAATGTAGATTGTTTCACAATCAAACCTTGGGCACATCACTGACATGTGCATGATGGGTCCAAGCACAAACAAAGAAACCATATATTATGCCAATATATTGTTAAAATAGCTAATCTATCCTTTGACAAAATGTTTTGTTTGCATTACAATAATACTGTAAAATTTATATTTATCATATATTTGCCTTTATAGGTTTTAAGCACTTTTATCAATAAGGTTGGGTTAATTAAAAGTTTGAGAAAATATTAAATAGTTGCATCTTGGCGTGAATAAAAAGAACATGATTATGATAATCTTATTGATACTCATTTGAATGCAACATATACAAACATCATACTAAACGTGATACCAAAATCATTTAAATGGCAACTTTAGCAAAGATGAAACGAAATTTTAAACCAAAGCTTAGAGACCTTGAAGTTGATCAGTCAGAATTTAGGCTTTAGCACGTCAATCAGATTCGATTAGTTTACAATAAACAAACTGAGATAACACTTAATGTATGATCAAGACTGTACACTTTTTACATAAATTCGAGTCTGTTTAACAACAAAAAGAAACCATTATTGATAAAAACGAGTGTTTACCTCACTTGCAGGTGCACCGATCCATTTCCAGTTTGCCAGTTGCTAAGTACACTTTTGGACCTTCAGTCCAGGAGAGCACTAATATAGTTTACGGTATGTCGTTATTGGTAAATTTCAGATCTCAAAAAATATTAGAACACATTGATACTCTAAAGTGTATTTGGCGCATATTCTACATGTTTTGAATCAATCTGAACTAATTCCCTTCTTTGTGAATTACATGTACACAAGATAATGTAGTCCGATTTCATACAATAACGTTTGACGTTACCGCCATCTTTCAGCACACGCGAAAATGGTAAGGCTACTTGTTTGATTAAATATTTATCTTTTTCGCTTATAATTAACGTGACCTCTATATATATTGCATGGTTCTTTAAAAATATGTTTTATCTATTTCAGTTACCTCTTTCTCTACTGCGAACTGCTGTGAACCATCCCATGGTAAGTGTCAGTGTTTCTCTGAAGATGAACTAGTGTTAGCAAGCCTGCAAGGCACAAGTTATGGTTGTTATTATGATCATTATTTTTCATTATTTAGTTAGAATTGATATGAATAAGTACAGTACTCTGTATTTTTCAATGAAAAATGCACTTTATATTGAAAGCTGCCCTATGTTCTGGGCTTTACGGTATCTATTTAACTTGACTGTTATCAGACACTTAGTACATTTACAGTACTCCTGTAGTGAACATAATATAGCCAACCGCACTTGTCTCACCACACAGTGCAGTAAAAAAACAAAAGATTTGTCAAAAGATGACTAAATGATGGTAGCTTTTAGACTTCCTTCCAGTGAAGGATATTTTACTTCCTGTTCTACTGAATTACTCTTGGCACTGTGTAAATTTCATTCATACAATAAAGCACATTAAAGAAACAGTGGGTAAGCCATTATATCATAGCCCTGGGCATATAATATTTTATGCTGCATCAGTTTCTGTCATCTTTTTTTAGCTGGTGGAGTTAAAAAATGGAGAGACATACAATGGACATTTAGTAAGCTGTGACAACTGGATGAATATTAATCTCAGAGAAGTTATCTGCACATCCAGGGTAAGTAGAGTGTCAAGCCAAGTAAGTTAGCTGCTATGCAAATGGTGGTACATGTATTATACTGCAAGAAAGGATTTATGGTTACCATATAATTATTATTATGACTTTTTATGAATTGATTTTTTTTCTTCCTAGGTTCAAAGATGTCATTGAATTCTTTTAGGAATAGTCACAATGTGCAGTCTCAACTAGCACAATGGGATGCATTGTAACTGTAAGGGCAGTGCCCAACATTATTGTTAACAGCTAGTTTTTGTTAGTGTGGCAGATTAATTAGAGCAAATATTGGAACCAAAAAAGGGAAAAGGGGGATGTTGTTATCAAGATGAATATTTCACTTAATTTTCTTTTTTCAATAAATAAATAAATAATAATAATAATAATAATAATAACCCATGTTCTCTCTCCTGATTAGGATGGTGACAGGTTCTGGAGAATGCCAGAATGTTATATCAGAGGCAGCACAATCAAATACCTTAGGATACCTGACGAAGTGATAGACATGGTGAAGGAGGAAGTTATCCAAAAGTCGAGCAGAGGTCGTGGTGACATGAAAGGTCGCGGAGGAGGTCAAAGGGGTAGAGGAGGACCAGGAAGAGGTGAGAATTATTATATATGCACAAATATCCTGTGGACTATTAAGGTGCTTTTTAGTTTTTACTGGCTGAAAGGACTATCAGTATTTGGCAAAATAGCCATGAATTTGCTGACAGAATTGCAGATGGGTATATTGTAGTTCTTTCCTCCACCTAAAGAGGGCAGCACATGTTTAGTTTTGGTACTGCACAGTATTTTGCACTTGACAAACTGTCAGTTATGCTTTAATCCAGTTAGTTAAGTGTAACTAATATACTTGGGGAGATCAGAAATGTTTTGTAAAGAAATGTATAACTTGTGTATGACTAATGCCAGGAAATGTTTCTCCATGAAAATAAACAAGAAAAAAAAACATGATAAACAAATTACTCATTTCTGCCAAAGTGAAAATCGACATACCACTTTGTTCTTATGTTTGTAGAAGTCAAAGGTACTTGGCTTGGATGGTTAACAAAGAAGCAGTTACCCTGCTGGTAGCTGTGAGATATTTCAACAGCTGATGCTTGTAGCTTTAAATAAATATATGAAAATCTATAGTTTCATGTATGGTACAATAATATGTTGTAATACTTAAAATATAGTAACATATTTCTCTTGCTTGTATCCTGTTTGTTGTAGACATTTAAGCATTTCTATTTACTGGGTGGGTCACTGTAGCAAATTAAATTAATAAGATTATTATCATTTTAGACTTACCTTTTTAAAAACAAATACTGGCAAACTATCAATTTTTTGTTATAGTATATCACCGGCAACACTATTTACATGAATGTGCTAGTGAGAAGTTTGATACTGAATCTCTGGTTGTAGTGTGCTGTTAGTTAATATGGCTAATGCCCAGAGATTTTCTGTTGAGCTCTCATTTGGTGCTGGTGATTTATCGCTATCTGAAGCATATTTTTTCATGGTTTATTGCATGGGCAATGGTGTAAGTCATGCAAAGTATGCAAAAGCTGACATGAGCAATTTTCTGGAGCATTCTTATCAGGTGCCTCTCTTTTATAGGCACCAGGGAGTTGATGGAGATATATTGTATCCTCCCAATAGTATTTTTCATAAATTTTAGCTTTTCTCTTTGCACCTCTTTTCTCTCTGTCTTATTGTTCCTTCCTGTACTTCCTCTTTCCTTTTTCTGTCTTCCCTTCCCCAGCTCCCTTCAGCTATTTTTTTCTTCCCTTATTTCATACTTCATATTGTAGCTTTCATTAGATAGAACTTTCCAATTAACTGCCAAGCCGAAAAGTAGATAGTGCAAATTTTCCCATCTGAATGAATTTTCTATATTTATATCAAAGATGTCACAAAGAATAAGGAACTACAAGTCTTGGCAGTTAATCCTAACTTTTTTCTTTAAAGAAAAATTAAATGACTGTAATGACTTTGATCTCAATTTTTTTCAAAGAAAGGATGTGAGGGTTTTTAGGTATAGTGTTACATGTGTGTGGAGGGGGGTGTCAAGTTAAACAGTGGCTGTTTTAATCTTTGTGTTGATATTTGACACTAATGCTTTAGCTGTCTCTGTCAAAAGCACTCAAGACATCTTGCACTTTAGTAATAAAGCAAACATGCTAGTTAAACTGCAGTCTTAGGGGTTGTTTTATCTTGTTATGACATTGGTTCTTTGTGTTTACATATTGATTGTAACAAGGTTGTTGCCAAAAAATGTAAACCAATGGTTGTGGTGGTGTTTGAAACATTCTGCTAAAGGGAAATGCTGTGTTTATTGAATGTTTTCCTCAATTTATACAGCAGTTTGTTGGAAGTTTGTTTCATACTGAATAACATTGCTAGAGGGAAATTGCCAACTACTTAGTATCTTATTACATTGAGTCTATGTGTGGTTCTTTCCTTTTTGTTTCTGAATTTCAAGAAGTTAATCGGTAAAATATATCCTTCCAATTTAGTTTGTTTATTTATGTAGGTGACATTTCAAGGGGAGAATTACATTTGGATTTGAACTAATCTATAAAAGGACAAAAGAAAATAGTACTGCTAGCCAAAAAAGTCAAAATAATACATTTCAATTAAACTGTCCAATTTGTGGGACAGAGTATGTTTTCTAAGGATTATTTTTGTAAACTTTCCTTCAAACAATCTAAAGATGAAAAAACACAGAATGTGAGCAAGGACCCAAATGTAAATAAACGGGAAGTCCAGAATGGTAAAGGTAAACACTAGGAGATACCTTCAACTGCAACATACCTACCAGATATTATGTTTTTGTGGGCTTTTTGGTGTGTGTGGTAACCAGTTAACAACATGTAAGCCTGCCTTGAAAACACTACCATGTGTGTGAACATTAAATCTAATACACAGCAGGTCAGTAATGCTGTTGAAGGAATGTTGGAAAAGAAAAAAAAGCCTAAATCCAAGCCAGAAGTCTGTCTTCTGTATTTACATGGCCTGATGCTTGGGCTGTTCCTGATGTTAGTTTTATGTGTTTTCCATTGTTATTAGCTATTAAAGAGTGTTGGAATAATAGGTGGTAAGATTTATGACCTCTGTTAGGGCAACCAGAGAACAGGGGCAGTTTTACCATTAATGTGTTCAACAGAGAGGAGCTAGAGCTCTTGAATGTCAGGAGACCACACAGTTTGCTTATGAATTTCGTTTCTTAGAAAAGTATTGTGCTAAATCCTTTACTTCATTAAACTCTTGTTTAGTAGAAATAGGAAGAAATATACTATTTTCATTGTTGATTTATATAAATTATTATATAAACTCAAATCTTAGGTTTTTAAAAATAGATAAACGTACTATAGTAACATTGATGCCAATTATTTCACATGGATGGGAAATTGGTTTTATCATCAGAAAACTAAATCTTTGTTTTATACAGTGGCCAAAACCTGCCAAGTTCTGTTGGATATGTAACCTGCGATAAGCTTTAATGCACTTCTTGTTTGTTGGACTTAATATCCAAGTTGTAGCCTGGTCTGTTTAAAATTTGTGGTTGGTACTATCAAAAATTTGTGAAAATTTGAGGCCAAGGAAAGGACAACTGCATGCAGTTGCACATTGAGAATTGATTTGTATTTTAATAGGTGCTTGATATCTGTGCAGCAAAGGTGATTGTGAAGATCACCAGTTAATAGTTTTCATGCCACAGACCTATTTGAAAAAATTGGGCTCTCTGCTTGAATTCTGTGCCTAGTTTTCATTTTGGCATCTTACGTCAAAATGCCCTATGCCTTTCAAACTGAGGCCACTTACAAGTTAGTTATTTACACCTTACCTAAGACTCTTAGGTTGCCATTGAAGGTGACATCAATGTACAACATTTTATTTGATTTTTTTTAGTGAAAATTGCCTTCAACAAGATAGGCAGTCATTCTGTATACTTAAAACATGAATTATTCAATACTGTTTTTATTTACAGGGGCATTTGGAGGAAGAGGAGGAGGTAGAGGAGGAAGAGGAGGAGGACCAGGAGGACCACCAAAGAATATGGGAAAAGGAAGGGGGACTAAATAAAAAAAAAAACTTGCATCTGCTATCAACAAGGACATTTTATATGAACGCTTATATTGGAACTGATGAGTGTGGACCTGTGATATCATTGAGATATACAGTTCATCAGTATAGGAAAAAAAATGCAAGATGAAAAAAGACAGGTGCCCCTCTGATGACAGCCAGTTAGGGACTAATAAAAAAGAGGTGTTCAGGTAATTGTCATCAAGCAGTTAAGTTAAGAAAGGCAGACAAGTAGACTCAACTGAGAGAGGGGAAAAAACTGCACTTGTAGTTCATGCAGAGCTCCTTGGAGAGGAGGACATGTATATCCTCTGTGTTGAACAGTAACAAAATGCACCTGTTTTCTCGTGGACAGGAACAAGAGGTGGCAGATTGTGACAATATTAATAAGTTCTGTTGGTCAAATTGGGCCATAAATGGTTGGACACCAATTTTTCCTCTTGGTTCTCTTTTACTGTCACAGAAGTGTTTTCTGTGTTATAAATCTAACTGGCAGCGGGTACTGTGCAGCACAGCTATTTTCAGGTCTCTTGTAAGTTACCTGATTAGCTCATACTACATGTGTGCAGCATAGGCAAATTACAATGGCCATGTTATAGTTGACAAGGGTTGTTTATCTTCCTAGTCCTTTTTTTAGATTTGTTAAAGAGACTGTGAGCTGTTAACACTTGTAATGCCTAGCAATTTCGCAAGATATTGGTTTTCAGACAAATAGATAATAGCCAAAACCAGCTGCCAAAATGAACAAGAAAGGGGAGGAGGTAGTTTGTATAGTAGGAGTTAAGTCATTGACTTAGTACTGATAATACTTTTTTGTTGCCATTGACTGTTCTTGATTTCAACATCATTCAGTGATGTTTGTTTTAAAAAAAGCACTCAGCAGATCACAACAATCTTGTTCTTTGTTGAAAATCTTTATTTTGAAAACGGATAATCTCTGCCAATATTTCCTGCATAGTTCCTTTTAAGAATGTCTTTCAACCTTTACCAGAGATCATGAGACCTAGTCAGAGTTCATTAATAACAACTTCACTTCAGCCAAACAACTGGACCCAAAATAAGACAAAAAAAGGTGTCTGGTCCAAATTATAGCTCATGGCTCTGGTTAAGTGTCAAGATTTGAGTTTCACTCATCACTTTTAAGTTCAAATATATAGCACTGTGTGTAGTTATTAAGTAAGATGAAGGAGTATATGAAAATAAATAATCAAATTTACACTTGAAGGTGTTTTTTTCTGTATCCTGCGTAAAAAGTTCAGTTAAATCCAAGTGTATGGATTGATGGTGCATTGGATGGATTTGGTTTACAACAGCATGTGCCACTGTAAACTTTTTTTGGCGAAAAGTGATGACATTAAGGAGGGAAAAAGCCAGCCGGTGCCCAGCATGTAAAGAATTCCTTACATAGCACTCCCCCTTTGCCAGGTTCCAAGTTAACCTAGGCCTTTCCTTGTTAACATTTTTTAAAGAGTGAATAACATAGTTAAAATCCAGTCAGCAGCAACTGGTGCCCTTAACTTGGCTCTGAAACTTAAAGCATGGGAGTTATGATTGAATAATTAGCAGTTTTGTGAGTAGCTCTTGACTTCCCTCGCTGGGGAAGATCAGTCAGTTGTCGGTTCCAGTGAACATTTTCTAAGAGAGATTGGAAGTTATTGAAATAAGTGCTGCAATTAGCCATTCCTTCTGCAACAGTTTCCAAAACATAACAGACGCAAACATAACTGCAACAAACACTTCCTACTGTGCAATTAAGATGTTCTGCAGGAGAGTTTTTTTAGATCTGAAGTGCATACGGGAACCGTACTCTGTAGTGGAAATTATAAGTGTATTTAAAGATATGATTTTCATTTTTATAATAGGTCTTACAAGAGATTTTTTCTGAAAATAAAAAGGATTGACGTAAAAATGGGATATCATGTCATGAAGCATTTTCTGTGATATAAATTCCTTTTGAAAAAGAAATCGGTGTGATATAATTTAATACCCTTTATTGCACCTCGTGAAAAGAAGTTTTTAGCCGAAAATGTAAGACAAAGAAGTTGATTGGTAATCCATTTAGTATTGATTACTTCCCCAGGGATCTGCTGATGTGAACGGGGACCATTCAATGCCCGTGATGGGTTCAAAGAAGCGGCACAAATGTTTATTGTATTATTCTGGATGTTTGCCATCAAATATCTGTCATATTGTCTGTCTGCTCGTGCCGAGTTTCAGAACGTGGAACTCAGAATCTGGGTCTTACATCCCTATATAGCGTCCCAGTCAAAATTAGCTTTAAAATTCTCACTTACAAGAAAGATATTATATTCTTACTTCGCATGGATTAAATTATATCTGAACACTTCTTAAAGAATGCTAATACTTTTTATACATTATTCTTGTTTTCTTAAAACTGACATCGTTTTACTTCTTATGCGACACTACCATGGGTAAGTTGACATAAAGCATACTTATAGAATAGGTGTGATGCCTTTGAAGAGACAAGGACGGAAAAGCCAGGCATCGGGCTTTAATGTGCTTCCCTACCCACATCCAGACCACAGACCCATGCAGTTTTCGTACTTAACCTGTTGAATGTCCGTGGACCTGCAACTAAATTAAACATAACAAGAGTTATAAGATTACAAAGTTCATCCTTTGTTTTATGGAAGTAGAATTTGACCCTTCCAAACAAAGGTGGTGATTAAAATCTCATGTCTCTTGTTATTTAGGCAGCATGGTAACAATGCTCTTTTGCGAGTATTTTCAGTTTGACTAGAAGATCATGCTTTAAATTCATTATAATTTTTTATCGCGCTTTTTTCTTCAATACTAGTCACAATCTTTACTTTCAATGTTTTAGTGATTTAGACCTGTTTTGTAGACCAGAAACAACCCAAACGCTCCCAACCTAGTGATAAATATATATAATATTCTATATAAAGAAATTAACTCGGGCATTTTGCTTAAAAACGGCTCTTTACTTTTCAGTGGGAGTTGGAAAAACCATTCATTACGCATGTCATTAGTATTTTTTCCATTGAACATTAACAATTCTAAAAAAAATGATACGTAAGGGAATTAGAACCTTGAATTCAAATTATCAAACCTCAAAGAAAGCCATTTTGAAATGCGCATTATCAAATAACACAGCAAAAATGTTTTCAAAAAACGGTTGCAATTATTATATGGATAGCATTTGGCAACGTATTCCCCTTGCCAGTATGACAAGCCCATATAAGTATCAGCGATCAGTCAGATGTAGAAAGACATGCACGGTATTAGGCAAATCGTTATACGAGTCTTGTAAAAGGGGAGAGTAACAATACTTAAAAATAAATATACATGTACGACACAGTGGACAACTTGTCAAAAAAACAGACTTGTCTTTTCCAACCACAGAACAATGGATATATTCATGTTATAAATGAATCATATTTCACAAAATAGTAACGAATAAATCATAAAGACAGTGGCAAAATTAAAATGTTTTGTTGTTGAGAACAGCACGCCCAAGCCCTGGTTTATGTTGGTTTATCTGTTGCATGTCAGCCTCTTCTTTTGAAGATTTTTATATATCCACCCAGATATTGGGTGGGGATGCACATTTCCTGTCGGTCTTGGTAGTTAAATCAAAGATACAAAGACAGGGTGAAATTTTATATGAAAAAGTTCATTATCAAAAACGTAATATATACACTTTTTGCATTGCTAAGATATTGTTCCTCGATGTTCATGTATGAAATAATTTACTACAAACTACGCCGAATGCGGTTGAACAAATGCTATACCTGGGTGGCCCAACAACATAATGCGATTGTAAGATACTGGTATGTATTATTTCAGAGCTATCGTTTTATCCAACCACGACCAATAAATATGTTAACTTTGTAGCTCAAACGCCCCTAGTTTGGAACAACAAACGATCACCAAAAACCCAATGATGACCCTAAGTCACGCGGCGTCGCTATCACGAAGAACCACCCTCTTCATATGCAGTAATGTTATACAGCATGATGTGAGCTTTGCATGTCAAGCGCAATTTTTCTTGGCTTCAAACTCTTTGTTATAAATGGGTGCCACCCAGACATTACTTTTACTCTGGATCGGCATCTATTAAAGCAGGTGTAACAGCAGCTAATTGTTGTAACTGAACATCGAGTTATCGTTTGAAAAATGGTTCATTTCATCCATTGATAAACCGATATAATGAACAATGAACCAGTTTTCGAAATCATCACGTACAGCTTGGACTATGATCAATTAATTTGTCGCGTTTTGTGTTTACTTTGATGATTTCGGATGTCTGTTATTTGGTGTGTGTGTGTGTGTGTGTGTGTGTGTGTGTGCGTTGTGTGTGTGTGTGTGTGTGTGTTGTGTGTGTGTGTGTGTGTGCGTGAGAGAGAGAGAAAGAGAGAGAGAGAGCTCACGTGTAAGAAAGAAAATAAACCGTACAAAAGCAACATACGTTGTTAGTTGCTTTAATTGGGTAATTAAAATCCATGAAAATTCAATCACTCAGCCACTAATAAAGTGGAACTGGTGACGGGTATTTGTTGAGGTCGCCCTTTGGATGTTTTAAGGAACATTCTTTCTAGCTATTGTTTTTGTTGTTTTGTAGAAATGATTGGATTTGGCACACGCCCCAATTTGTGTCCGTTACAAAGGTGACTGGGTCAGACGCAATTAACAAATGGCACTCATTGAAATACTTTTACTTTAATACTTTCCTTAACAGAAAACAATCGACACGAAACGGTTGTTTTATTGCGTTCAATAATTGGCGTAAGTTTAAAACAATACCCTCGCTAAACATTGCACTCTCTTCAAAGTGTCCAACAGTTGTTTCAATTAATTACAGCTTCTCTATTATACTCTACGCGTTCTGTTGATATATTGTCTCACAAGATAAACAGACCATATTGATTTCAGAGGAGGGTGGATACCCAAGATCTGACCTGAAGTTAATCGGGTAAACATACTCAAATGAACCATAGCGAATTTTCCACTGTTATATATTGGGCCTGTTAAAAGTCAAGGGCATCACTGTTTCAACTGCATCCCTCTTTTTGGTGCACGCGCGCGCGCGGGTGTGTATGTGTATGTGCCTGCAGGCTAGTGTGTGTGTGCCTGAGAGAGAGAGAGAGAGAGAGAGAGAGAGAGAGAGAGAGAGAGAGAGAGGTTTAAATGGTTGATTAGAGAGCCAGACGGAATTAACAAAATAATGCGGGATTTCAAATACTTAACCGTGTGAAATTCGATGCACGTTCAACACGACTCAACTATTTAATGCTATACAAAAATTTATCAAAAATGTTTCTTATTTAGATTCAACCACCTTGTCATTTCCATAATGCTCTCGACGTGTACATTCAACAAAAATAACTTCTTTTCAATTCTTTTGACTTTTTACGCGTTCTGCTGACAGAAACATCGGCCCTAAAGCAACTATGAAAGTGCCTATAGAAGCCACCTGTATATAAATTGAATATTTCACGTAACGCGACCCCAGCTGCCGGTTAGGCCCTACTAATTTCCCTCATCAAGGATCGTTGCCGGTGGTGTCGCTTGGAAAATTGCACAGGTGCGCTGTGCCATGGGTGATAATCGGGCGGTAATGACTCGCAGTAAGAAGGGACACGAACCCTCGTTAATATTAAACCTCCATCGCATTGTGTAATGAATTTGTAAATGAGTCTACAGATCATGTGTTAATGATGAAGATGGTGGCAAGCAATGATTATGATTACAGTGAGAAAGGTATGTCATTTGTCAGTGTCAATGGAAACAGACGCAACAACCATCCCATTGAATACCTAGGGTACTCCTTAATATGACATATGTTACGTAACTTTGAATCAACACCCAGTTTGACCAGCCCTTAAATACCCCAATGCCAAACAAGGGGACGCCCAGGATTACGTGGATAAAAAAATGAAGCCATGGGTTCACGGGCACAGAAAACGGCGAAATCAGTCCAGTAGTAGTTCAAAATCAATAAAAATAATATCATGACATTAAGTCAATAGTTTAGACCGACCTGTTCCAATATCAAATCAAACAAAACCATTGATATTTGCTTAATGTGCCAGCCTCCCCGTGCGCCTGTCGTTTACAGGTGGAAATGGTCCAATCAAATCGCTTCTTAACCACTGCGCGCATACGCTCACTCAAACTCAGTCGAGGCACAAGCGAGGAGCGAGTTTTCCAAAGTTTTCTTGGCAAATGAGTAGCAAATGCCACGCTTTGGGTGTTCGTAAATATTTAGTCAGATATATTTAGCCATGCAGAGACCGTCGAAATCATTTGGGGAGGAATTACTGAGTAACGAAGAGGAAGAACCGGCAAGATCGGCTCCCCATTCATTGAATCAATACTGAGTAGCGTTGACATTGATAGCAATGTGCGAACACCATGCCATCAGGGTTACTAGTCTTTTTGTGGATACTACTACTACTGCAGAGTATAGCCGGCGTGGACACAGGGGGGACAAGTTGGGGACCCGGAGCCTTGGCCCATTGTGAGCACACTAGTGACGTAAGTTTTTTAATGAATTTTTCTAATTTCCCCATAGTCTTTAAATCGAGAAAGTAATTTGTCCACAGTAGGCCCACAACGCCTGTTTTAATGGAGAGTAGTAAGAAGTTATATAAGTAGAATCCCATTCTTTTGAAAATACACGTGAAATTGTACCTAAATTCTTTCTAGTTTACTTTGTCGTGTTGGGCTAAATGGACCATATTAAATGATTTCCTTACACCGCGGTCAGCCTAGTGCAGCATAATACTCAGGTAAATCTTTCTCTTTGTGGCCGGGCGACTTGTGTGTGGTTTTGGGCTAATATTTGAAGTTTACATTATGTAGCTAGTTTGGGGTGCATTGTAGAACTAACTGATTTACTTTAAAGCTTGGTTTTATTGCAGCAAAATCAACTCAACTCATTCTTATGGACAGTTAAGAGAGATCCGCCGGCATATTTCTTTGGAACGATTCACGTACCTTACACAAGGGTGTGGGATTTTATTCCAGAAAATGCAAAACAGGCATTTAGACAAGCACAGAATATTTTTTTCGAGTTGGATCTTACGGATCCTTCCACCATCTCAGCATTAGCGACATGTCAGATGTTACCCCATGGGGAAAACTTGCAGGATGTTCTACCCCAGGATATTTATCGAAGGCTCAAACGACACTTAAATTATGTGAAAGAAGAAATGCCAAAATGGATGACACCAGATCAGAGAGGGAGGGGTCTATATGCCGATTATTTATTCAATGCAATAGCAGGGAACTGGGAGCGAAAGAGACCAGTATGGGTTATGTTGATGGTGAACTCTCTGACGGAGAGCGATATCAAATCTAAAGGAATTCCAGTATTGGATCTATACTTGGCCCAGCAAGCTGAAAGGATGAGCAAAACCACGGGTGCTGTTGAGAGAGTGGAGGAGCAGTGTGTTCCTTTAAATGAACTCAACTTTTCTGAGGTAAGTACTAAATAGATGTTTGCTTGGATCCGTCTTTGTGTTGCTATTGTGTGTCTTGTAGCCACCCTGAAGTTATCTCCCAAATCAGCCCCTACAGATTTTTATCAGATCACAAGCATGACCTGATCTAATGATTCTCAAATTTGGCAGGGAGTTGAGTTTAAATGGCCATAACAATCACTGGTACACATGTGCTGTCAGACTCCTTGCATGTAAACAAGTGGATGTGGCACAGGATAATATTATACACAGTGGTGACACTGGTTAGACACCATGCTACTCCCGTTTTCACAGTTGAGCAATCGTGCATCTGAAGGCACATTAACTGAGCATCAAGGGACACAGAGAAAATTACAGCAATTTTTGGTTGTGGATGCTTAACCAGCAACAAAGTCCTGTCTAGGGTTTCTGGGGTCAGCTCTGCTCCATTCTTATAAAAATGTCAACAGTGTGTCTAGCGGGATCAAGTAATATAGTGCACTGTTCAGAAATTTGGTCCTACCTGCAGAGAAAGAGCTAATTGAATATTACAGATACAACCATCTTACAATAGCGGGAATACCAGCACACCCTAGTAATTTATACTAGAGTGAAGGTTCATTTGTTATTTTGCTTGTAGTCTAGGAAGGGGACAAGAGTCTCATTTGTGTTACAATGATTTGACGCACAAGTTTTGTTATAAATTATTTTTCCCCTCTAAAAGAGGTTTGAGATTCCATGGCCAAGGTGTGTGATCAAACTGGACAAGGTAGAAGGAACATTTGAGAGTACAACTGCACTGCGTGATTTCATAAATATATTTCAAAGGTTCTATGCTGCTTTATTCACTTAATTTATGGTGAGGAAATGAAACGGTTAAAATTAGTACTCAGAAAAAAGAGTGAAAAAAAGAAACAGAATCTGCTGAAAACTACCTGTAACTTTTTTCAACATAAATAGTCTTGGGTATCTTATCATTCACTCAGCACATCTTGGAAAAGCAGTGTATATTCATGGCATTCAGTCTCTGAGCTCGCTAGGATAAACTAAAATTCGGTACTGGTTGTGGATCAGTGGAATTAGGAATGGTTAATTAAGATCTCGAGGTGAACCGCAAAAATGAGTGCTGTCAGTAAATCTCTCTGTACACTGATCTACCTTGCTTTCTATCCCTGCTCTTTATCAGGAAGTGCCGCTAGCAGTTGTAGCTCACTCTGGCAGTATTGCCCACTTATATTACTACTCAGAGTGTTATATATGTTAATGAAATTATAGGCTGAACTATTCAATTGCTAATGCAATGATAAGCTTTCCTAGGTATATATTAAAAAGGTTCTAGAGAAAATGTATGCCTGGACAACTGGCAATGTTAGTTGGGAAAGTTTTCAACTGGTGCAGTTTTCAACTGTAGACAACTTTAATAAATTGGTATGTGTTTAATTTGGCCATATGGTACAGTAAACCATAACTTTCTTACTCCCTGATGATGGTGACTGACAGTCACAGAAATATTGGAGGTAATACCCACATATTTTACGAGCTCTTGATAAAAAGAAAAACAGTAATTTGAATTTATACATACAGAGCTAATGAAACTGTTCTCTCATAACTTTCTTAATTGACACAAACATTGTAGGGGGTTTGTAGATCATGATAGATATTGATGGTTGAAAAACTGTCCTGCCAAAGTGCCATACCAAACACACTAAATGACACATAGTTTATCTCAAATTCTAAATCTCAAAGTATCTTTTCCAAAGATAACAATAACAAACATCCAGATATTACCATGCCTACTTAGATATTCTTTAAGTCCAGTTTTACACCCTAAGCCGACAAGAACACACTTTAGTAAAAGAAACGCCTGTCAGAGGCTCTCTGAGTTGATCCATCTGACTATAGGATTTTGATGATAGACATTATCATCAACCCAGTCTGACTGGATCCAATTAAGCCTGGGATAAGTCCTGCTGCCTTAATCTCTTTATCTCGCCACCTCTGTGCTGGGAATTAATGAAGGCATTGTACCTGCCTATGGGCCATTGTTAACCAGGTTTAACTTTACTTTTATTTCAAGGTCTCTGGTAATTAAAATGAATATGTTGTTTCATGTCTGACTGGCACTGTGTACCCCCCTGACCTTTTGTGGGAATGCAGGGGGCACCGCCAGTTCTCCTTAGTCTCAAAGGCTCCATCAGGTGTGAGAATCCAGTTGGTATGAAGTGCAAATATCTATTTGTCATTTAAGTTTAGATAGGTATGTCATTATTTAAAAAAGAAATTCATACATTTCAAAATATCTCTTGAAAAATTATTGGTTCCTTTCTTAATGAATCTGTATCTTTTTGTGTATAGATATGAAAGAAAAAATCAGACACAGTGGTTATGCTTATGACATGACTGATTTGTTGAAAACTGAGTGAAACAACTGAGAAATATGTATTTTGGCAGCTCCAATACATCCATTTCATTGAATCTGCCAACTTGAAGAAGTTCTCAATCCATATAAGTTGGCCTTTTAGTAGAAGTATTGGCACAGATAGATAAGAAAATTACCAGCAGATTGCATGTTGTCTCTGCTGTGTCCATGTATTTCTAAGACAATTACTTGTTCTTTCCGGTAATTACATTGATTTTTTGTCAGTAACTGTCTAAGTGCTGCAATTCTGATCTGGTCACTGAAAAAATTACCCCACAAAACCAAATATAAAAATTTGGCTTCACTTATATTCCTATTGACAAGGCTCTCAACCCTCTTTAAAATCTGAAACCAAAAGTAAATGCAGATAATTATAAATGAGAAATGTTTAATTTGTCCTTAAAACAAAGTCCCCCAAGTCCTATTAACAGAAATCCCTCAGAACAGATTGGTTTAATTTGTTTGCATTTATCATATTTCAGTAATTTGCATCTCAATAGCAGTGATAATAATTTTATCTTTTACAATTAATTTTAATTGAAGAAAGGAGGCTGTTACTAATAACAAAAAACACAGAAATAGTATAAAAAGTAGTGGCATCTCTTTGTAATATGAGATTAACGCAATGATTGATATTTACAATATCAGTGCTATAAATAAGCATCTAGAGTCAAGAATAATCTTCATTGTGAGTTTAGTTAATCATTACAATAAAGCTTTACCTTGGAATCATAATCTTGAAAAGGCAATGATGAATTGCCTCTACATGCATTTTCTACCCTGACAGTATATCACGGCCACTGACTGTCACAGCTGTGACCTTTAATCCCTTTTTTGTTTGGTTTAATATTTTGTGACATTTATTATTCTATGATTGACTTTTCTTTGAAATACCTGAAATGAATCCCCCTGGGCTTTTACTTTTCAAATTTTGTTTCAGGTTTCAAATGCACATGGCAATGTATGGGTGTTATTTTGTCTGTTAAACTGAGAAAATATCCCATTTTGGTTGTACTACCAAGTCCTAAAATTTGCATCCCATGGGATGGTGGGTAAGCTGTGAGTAGTTTGTGCAAAGACCAGGTGATTCCAGTATGGATACTTAACTTTAGATTCATTTTAGGCTTGTTTTAAAATCTGTTAATTGAATGTAAACCATATTTAATCAGTGTAAGCAGATGGAGGATTGCTTATCTGGAATGCCATTCTAAACAATGCCTTCAATACCATACCAGTAAGTGGCTGAAATAGAACAAGTAAATTATGTGAAACTGTGCAATTAAAAGCCCAAGCATAGTAATACTAGTGGTGGTACTGTCCTTAATAAAAAGGGAAGAAGAATTGAAATAGTCTGACATATGAATTTCAACTGGTTGATTTCACATTATCTACTCAGGTGAAATGATATACATGTAAACTCAGTGGGAAGGGCCAGCTTCAAAGGGGAGTAAAGATAGCCTTGTGTAAATTAGGCACTGTATTGTGAAAGTTATTGAATTAATTTAATGTTGTACAGGTTGTAAACTCAGTGGGAAGGTCCTGACATCAAAGAAAAGAAAAGATAGCACTGTAGGTCTAAGGTAGTGTATTGTGAAAGTTATTGAATTAATTTATCAATGGGATCAAATTAACCTGCCACTTTAGCAATGTGAACACAAGAGAACCCCCAACAACCAGTAGTGTTTTGTAATTGATATGTTTTTAAAAGGGGTACTGTATATGATGCTGTTATTAGTTGTTTTACTGCCTTATAGGTTATAAAATTATAGTTGAGAGACTGATCATTCTCATGTTTTATTGGAATTCTTGTGTTGTGCAAATAAATGTGCATCTATTTTGCAAAATTTCAAGCATTACATTATTGCTGATTCATCTATTTAATTAGCAATAGAATAAAAGAGGAATAGACTTTAAAATATAGTCTTGGTGCAAAAATCCTGAAAAGAATACTTTTAAGTCTAAATAGGTAAGAAAAAATAGTGGAATGAAGCAACAAGATACCCGCCTCTCAGCACTGTTTTATAGTACACTACCAATAATTGAACTACTACCTGTTTGCATAACCTTGGCTATCAAGTGAAGTAAAGAGTTACAAGTGAGGTAATGTTTAGCAAACATAAAAAAGTCTTAGGGTATATTAGCTTTGAATAAAAAGATGCCGTTAGGAAACATGATTTTCTGTAATTTGAGTCTGAGTAGTCATAACCAGAGGGGTTGCATTAGCACATTATGGTTTCTCAACATTTTTTAAGTTCTGTGTCTGTGGGCAAAATTTTACTTTTTTGAACTTCAGCAAAAGGGGACAAGAGGTAAGAGGAAGACACTCGTTGCATACTTCATTTTTTATAGCTTCTTCATCTTTTTTATGAGGAAGTGATGTAATTGTAAAGTGTCTGAAAACTTGTCCATCATTTAAAGTACTTAATTGTGTAAGGCAGAGCATGTTGTTTCTCTTCTTAACATATCCTGTGCCCTGTAAGGAGCATTACTGCATGAAAAAAAATAAAAAGACTGGAAGCTTGAGCACCTGCTTTTCCTGTCTTTTTGACCAAATTAAGCAGCATCAGACTGTTAAAGCACTGCAAGAAGTCTGCAGTACTTT